TTCTGAAATGCACTAAAACTGAAAAACTGAATTTTAAGTTTTACTTTAAATTTAAATACATGTAGCTAGTGCCTAATATACCAGACAGCACAGGTCTAGAAAAATAATCTAAATTGTTAATAGTGGTTACCTCTGGAATAGAAATCACTGGGAGAGTAGGGGGTGGAAGCAAGACAAATTTTTGCTTTACTTCACTATTTGGATATTTCAAAGTAAGAAATTTTATTATTTATATAAAAAGAAAAGGAAAAAACCTGATAATGACTCAAAATTAGCCTACCAAAGTCAACAGAATTCAGTTTTTCTTTTCTGTCATACCTGGGAAAAATTAAGCAAATAGCTGCTTTACTTCAAATCATCTCTTCAAAAGCCACATTTCCTCTTATTTCTCTCCCAAACTCTTCTGCTTCCTCATTTTTATAACAGCAGTATCAATTTGCCTATTCATAAGAAGCAGTACCATAGGGAAGGCTATTAAACCTTATCAGGGGTAGTGAGGTATGCTTTCTAAGAACATTTTCCAACGTAGGTGAGGGATCTATGCTTTTCTATGCAACAACCCTGCTAATACTGGGAAAAACTTGGCACAACTCCCTAAGTCTTGTCTTTTCCGAGCCAAACACCTCCAATCCTGACCAAAAGCACAAAGACGTCTTTCACCATCATATGGCTCAATTAATAGGAACTCAAACACTAACATTTCTCAGAACTTCTCTTAGTTATATGGCACAGTCACTCAGTCTTACCCAGATTCTAAACTCCTGATTTATTCATTCATTTATTAATACTTACTGAATATTATATAGCAATGAATAAGATCTTGATACACAGCAACTCTGCTCTCCGAAAGTTCTACTTGGTTTGGCAGATGCTTGACAAGTCTTTATCTCAACTCATCCCAGACAATTTAACTCACTTCATAATGAATACCACTAGTATCACAAGATTTAGAGAACGTTTATTCAAGTTTCTAACAGGCATGTGGAATGGAAATCTGGATAACATGTCCAATAACCCAATATAACAGTGCAAATCCATGGGGAATTCCTAACGTTCCATAGGCCAAGTCTGCTACAATCCACAACAAAAGTACAAAAAAGAACAATGTAATAAATAGGAAAAATTTACTCCATAGTACTCTTTATTATGAGATTGTGTCTTTTTGGCCTTTTTGATATTAAAATGTTCTCTATTTAGGTAGTGGCTGAGGTTGAAAGAAGTACCTGGTTTTTTGTTTTGGTTTGTTTTTAAAAAGTCTTACTTGCCAGTGAAAACTCTATAGCAAGTATCTGCTGATATTTTATTTGCCCATGTCATCCAGGGGTTTAGAGAACTTAGTTTCCTCTGCCCTAAAATGCACTTTACCCACAGAGTAAACAATTATTCTTTTGACAGATGTACCTCAATAATGCTTAAAGCATTATATTTTGATAACTGAAATAGAAGCCTTTCCACTCCTGCACTGTATTATTCAGAAGAGCATTAATATCACAATAAAATAGATTCAAATGGTTTTGTCGGTTTTATTCTTTACTGTTTTGTTCAATTGTATTATAACTAACGATATAGGCAATTCTATTAGAGATAGCGGGAGGCATTATGGTAACCATTGTTGATCACCTTGTATTATGTTTTTACATTATCTATTATGTCCACCCTTTTGACTTGACCAATTCTGTTCTGTTATGTCACATTTGGTTTTACTCTCTTCCAAAAAAGTAATAAGAACCGTGGGAGCAATGAAACCCAAAATGTGTAATAGTCATGGTACAAAAGAGAGGAAAAGAAAGTGCTCCAAACTATATAACTGCATGTATATTTAAGTATATAAGATAGAAAATGATATCACAGAGTTTTATTGGATCAATGAACAGAACTGTTTGCAGTATCATTGATGGAATGTCCACTTTACAAGCTTTAATTTTGTGACTTGAACAATTATTTCTAAGATGACAATATGTAATCCATTAACTAGTGATTTCCTACTGTTCATTTTTTTCTGTAAATCTGTATAACTTGTACCCTTTCCCTGCTTTTTTTTTCTTTTCTCCTTAAATAAAATTTAAAAAAAAAAAAAAAGAGAGAGAAAAAGAAAGTGCTCTAAAGGATATAACTGCATGTATATTTAAGTGTATAAGATAGATAACCATGTTACTGAGTTTTGTTGGATCATTGAACAGAACTGTTTGCAGTCTCATTGTTTGAATGTCTACTTTATATGCTTTAATTTTGTAACTTGAACAACTATTTCTAAGATGACAATATGTAATCTATTAACTAGTGAAAAAAAAAAGTGCAAAAAATCTAATTTAAAAATGTATACTGGTGTCAAAGACAATTGTAATTCATGGCAGTTACTTTAACAAAAGTAGCTAAATTCTTATGTTTATTTCTGACTAATCTTAAATATCAATGTAAAGAGGTTTATATATTAAACTCCAGAAAGAAAGAGATGAGCATGGTCACATAAAGACCATCAAACAATATTGAAAAAAAATACAACTACCACATACCTAAAATTGTCACTAGCATTGACAAAACTGTAAAATTAGTAACCTCTTTAAAGTGACAAAGGCCCTACATGTAGGACACTCTTCTTCATCACCTCTCTCCACAAGAAACACAGCTGTCCTGGTAATCTGCATGCTTTTACGTAAGGATAAAAACGTACGAAGGCAATACAAAATAACATCAACAAATGAGGTTTGCTAAGGGAAGTTGGTTTAAATGCCCTAGTTTAAAACCCAAATTTGCCCTTAATGTGCATGACCTTGTACAAATCATTCAACAACTTCAAGCACCTCTAGATTGTTAATTCCACAGGAGCAAAACCCATTTCTGCCTGACACACTACTAAAAGTTTTGTCCCAAAACACACTGAAAAGTTAGTTTTTTCCTCCTATAAAACAAAAAACACTATTTGTCTCGAAGCACGAACTTGAGGAATAAATAATACATGTATATAAAACCCTGGCAGAGTGACTGATGATTGTAAACACTCAGTGAAAGTTAACTGCTATCAACCAACAGCTATGCAACCTAAAAGTACTGTTCAAAGACTTTCAAATACTGAGTAAGCCTTTACCCACGAAATAGCCAATGCACAAATTACCCCTTCCCTCCCTACATAATGTATGTTATCTATACTTCACACATGTAGGTATATAAAACCTACAAATAGTTTATAAACCAATGCAGTAGGAATCTAATAACACATGAACCCTGAATTGTGCATAGATTAAGGCTATGAAAAAGCTAAATTACCTAGACTCCAAATTTTTGTACTTCTAACCTGGTCCCGACCACAAGCACTCATGGCTTCCCTCGGTCTTCCCTTCGGACCTCCCCCAGCTGTCAGGGACCCCTCCCCTGCGCAGAAGGGGAGGGGAGATAAAACCTCAGAGGCGGGGGCCTGGGTTTAGGGAATAGGGAGCCTCTCTGCACCTCTCGCTCAGACCCACCTTAAGCAGGATGGACGGCGGCAGCTGGTTGATGTCTGGGATTTCGGGGGGCGGCTCCCTGTGACAGTCCCAGGGATTTTCGGGGGCTCCTGACCGTTCGCCTCACCGTATTCCAGCTGCCGCTGAGCGGAAGAGGGGGCGGTGGCCCGGCTCAGACAGCGTCCCCGCCGGCCTCGATGGGTGCGCTTTTGGAAAGGAGGGACGAGGGCGGGGAGCAAAGCGGCTGTGGCGCTAGCTGCTCCGGGGCCTGGCAGCAGCAGGCGCCAGGGGGGCGCGGCGGAGAGGCACCTCCCCCCGCAGACCCGCCCCGCCGCCCCCGCCGCCCCCGCCGCCGCAGCCCCCTCCGCCACAGCGGGGCTGCTTGCAAGAGGTGCAGGCGGGGACCCCGGCCCCCTTCCGCTTGCACACTTATCTCAGGGCCCGCAGGGGGCTCGGCGGGCGGCCCCCGGAAGAGCTGCAAGGCGGCGGGCGGCCCCAGGAAGCGCAAGGACCCCACGTTGGCCAGGAAGAGGCTCCAGCCCTGCTGTTCCCAGGCGGCAGCCGCGGCCAGCCCCAGCTCTCTGCAGCAGGAAGCAGGCGACGAAGCGGAGCCGCGGCGGCAGCGGCGGCCGAGGACAGCAGAAAGCGGCGGGCAGCGGCGGGCGGCGGCGGCGGCGCAGTCCTCGAAGGCCAGGGCCGCGTAGCGTCTGACCAGGTCCTGAGAGGCGGCGGCAGCGAGAGCGGCGGCTCCTGCTCTGGGCCGGCGGGGGCGGGCGCGTCGGGGCTGTGCATGATAAAGCAGAGCATGCAAGGCCCGCGGAAGAAGCAGTCCCGGCTCCGGGGCGAGGCGCCTTGGCGGGCATCCGGCGGGGCAGCCTGAGGAGAGGGCGCCGGCGGCGACAGCGAGGCCCCTTCTGGCTCGAGCGGTTAGGCGGCTCCTTGGAGAGAAGGCGGCCCCTATAGAAGGCCCCGCGGAGGAGGATGGGAGGGTCTAGGGGTCGCCCGCCCTGCCCTGCGCACACGCGGGCACACGCGACGGTGGGGGCGGGCGGCGGGCGCCCGACCGGGTCTACATTCTTTGCCCCGGGAAGCCCGGAGAACGGTGGGCCGAGCTTTGGAAACAGGAGGGAGAAAGCGAGTGAGTCTGCCGGCTTGACGACCAGTCCGGACCCGGCTCGCCGCCTCATTCAGCGTCGCGGCGGAGGCTACGCCGAGTCCTGCTCGGACCATTTTAACTGCGGCTCCGCCGCCGGCGCGCGTGCCCGAGACACGGCTCGGAGCCGCAGGAGCGCGCTGCCGGTCTCGGAGGGGGCGGAGCCGGCCGCGGCGGCGGGCTCGGGGCGTGGACGCGGGCGGCGGCGGCTCCCGGGGCAGAACCCCAGCTAGCGCTGTTGGCTGGGCGGTGACCGGCGAGGGTGCGGCACTCGGGGGCGCGACGCGCGCCCAACCTTCGCGTCGCCCGAGGGTTCTCAGGCCGCTGCGCGCGCCCAGCTTCTGTAGCGGGAGGAGACCCTTCCCAGCCAGCTGCGTGACATCCCTTTCCACAGCCGCGCTGACGTCCTGAGGTGTCAATTCAACCACTGCCATTGGCCGGGAGCCGCTGGGCTCTTCCCCTCACGGTCCCCGCAGCTCTGCACCCACTCGGAGCGCAAACCGGCCCTGCTGTGGAAGGGCCTCGAGTGTCCTAAGGGGAGCGGCAGATGCTCTGCCTTTGGGTGACAGTGCCTGTCCATCCGTCGTCACGGGAAGCCAGTTGGTGGTGCGGTGCCGCTGTGTACCCCCACTTGTTGCGTGCTGTCGCGTTTGCACAACTTTATTGGAAGATGAACACGTAAGAAAATATCTATATGCGGCACGGAGACGGTTTCCCAACCCAGTGAGACACAGGCTACAAGCTTTCAAAGACTACCTTCTGCACCTGGGAATTGTGTCTGTCCTTTCCCCCAGACTTGGCTCAGTGCCTGTGTGACACAAGCCTTGATGGCCCAAAAGAGGAGGAGGTAGTCTTGATGGTTTGAGCTTCGATGAAGCTATAGAGATAGGGTAGGAACTCTTCATTGTCCCTGGAGGGGAACAGGAAAGAATAAAGGATGGAGACAGTTATCTGGATGTTTCTGGTGGGGAAGTGAAAGAGTTCCTGTTCCTTTCTCATATTTTCTACCTGCCATCAGGTGGAGTCTAGTTACATGCAGAAGGATGGCAGGTGTTTTTAAATGCTAAGGATAACCTGAGAGAGCTGATGTTGTGAAATATTCAAGGTTAGATTCAGCTGAGAGACTGCTTTATCAGCAAGACAATTTCCCTACCACCATAGCCAGCCTCATACAGCCTTCATCCAAAGATGCCGCGAAACCTTTCCTATAATGGCCTTTATCTGATTTTTTTTTTTGTCTTTTTGTGGTTTTTATCGGTACCAGGGATTGAACTCAGGACTGCCGCAGGCGCTTATGCCGCTGAGCTAAACCCCCAGCCCCCCACCTTTTTTTTGGCCTTTATCTGATCTTAAGTATGTCCTATTCAGGAAATCCCCCTTTCTCAGCTTAATCATAATGAAATAGAATTCCAAGAAATTTAGAGGCAAAAAATTTGTTGAAGCATTTCACACACATTCACTATCAAATGTGCTGCCAAACTACATTTACTTACAGGTATCTCCACAACTTTCCTCCCTCCGACTGTGTAAAAAGCTCTTACAAAGCCCCAGATTTCCATTGGTGAGTGGCAGAGTTTGCTTAAGACCTTATAACAGATCTGTTGTCATCTCTTCTAGGCTCCATTTTGATCAATTCTAAACAGTTTATTACTTGATGCCAAAATTATGTGCTTCTCAGCTTCACATAAGTCAATCATGTATCTCTACACTGTTACCTAGCAATCCCACATCTGGTATATATCCAAGAGAAACAAAAGCATATATCCTCAAAAATACTTATACAGAAATGCTCATAGAAACTTTATATAGTCACCAAAAAGCTGCCCACATCCTAGGTGTCCATCAGTGGGAAAGTAGGTTAAAAAAAATTAGTGTATTCATTCTGTGAAATACTACTTAAAGAAAAAAATAACATGAATGAATCTCGGAAATGTGTGCTGAATCCTTAGCCTTAAAGTTGGAATCCTGGAATTTACTTGATTTTTACAAGGTTTGTATATGATTCTTGTACAGGCTGCCTTTCCATGCAGACTCATCAGAACTATACATACTTGCAATTACTCTGGAACTAGTTGTCAGAGTCAAATGAGGTAAATGACTGACACTTTTGATGTGATTTTTCTTACTCCCAGTTCCTGAACTATTCTGATATATGTTATCACCATCTCCCTAGCACTCCTCAGAAAAATTACAAATTCCTTGAGGTTTAGGACATACCTGAATTCACTGATCCCTCTTAACTGTTTTTATTTTCTCTGTAGTTTATTATTACATGGTGTATGTGTTTGGTTGTTTGTACTAGACTGAACTCCATAAGGATAGGGACTTTTTTCAGTTTTCAGGAAAATAATATGGCAGCCATAAAGATGAAATGGATTAGGAAAAGGTTCATAGCAGAAAGACTAAAAAAGAAGCAATGAAGAGGTTTTAGAAGCATAAATTGTGGCATACTGAGGATAATGAGCAGGGATGGGATTAAATAACATTTTTGGAATGTGGGTTTTTCAGGATTTAGTGAATTATTTATAAATGGATAGAGAAGAGAGTGATGTACAAAGGAAGTAAGGAATCTGAATGGCTATTTCTATGCTCCTGGGAGACAGGAAACTGCAAGTAGCTGTAGGAACCAAGAATAACCCCGATCTGATAGCAAGAGAACAGGCCCTCTGTTGTACATACTATAATTCTTAATTCTACCAACAAACCCATGAGCTTAGGAGAAAGCTAGCGCTACAGAAAGGATGCCATGATTTCAGTCTCGTGAAACTTGAATTGAGAAGCTAGCTGAGTACATAATAGGGCTTCAGACTTACAGAACTATGAGAGAATAAACATAGAGGTTTTTATTTTTCTATAATTTATTTTTGCAGGAATAGAAAATATTCAAACAGCCCTATGAAAACCAAGATTTGATATAATTCTAATAGGAGCAAACAGTTATCCATAACTCCAAAGATTAACTCAAGCTTAGAAAAGGAAACAGCTAATCAGAACTTAATACAGATGGTTTCCCCACATTTATATAAATTAATGGGATAATTAAAGAGGTATTGTTTATTACTTGACTCATTTAACTTTCTTCCTTTACGTTTTTCTTCTTTAAATGAAATTGATGCAGCATAAAAATGTTCTGCAGTCTCTATTTCCTCAATTCTATGCCCAGCTATATCTTATAATTTTATTCTCATTTTCAATAGTGTCTAGAGAAAAGCAAAATTGCTGTATATAGGACTAACCAATTTCATAGTTTTTCCTCCTAAGTTTAATAACTTCTGGGTTTCTAACATAATTTTAAAATGGCTACATACGTAATAACCCAGGACCAGATATTAAAACTTTTTATTAGTGATTACAAAGTGGCCAAGCACTTTGACAACTTGTGGTTATAATTAAGAGATATCTATGCTCCTCTGTCTTGCTTACTCTGCCCAAGTCTGATGCATGATAAATCGCTGCTTCCTAATTCATTCCTATGTCTGAAAATAATTCTAACCAGGAAGTACTGAACAACCCATTTAAGTTACAGTGTATGTATACTCACTCGGGGAGCAAATGGGGAACAAAAGATGGGTGGCAGGGTTGGTAATGTGAAGGTCTTCTGGTCTCTGCCTGTGACTCAGCCCTGATCCTGTATGTTAAGAGTGCTGGAGTTACTCCTGGATTACAGAACTTTTTCCTCATTTACCAAGTGATGAGTCTTTCATCTTTATTAGTACTTAGAGAATGGTTGTTACATTAGGTATACAAAGGAAAAAGAGAACTGTTTATTCCTTAGTTGTTTTTCCTCACAAAAATAGAAAACTAGAGTCACACCCACGTGTGAAAGCAATGGAAGAAGTGACCTCAGAATCCGTTCTCTGTAAACTATAAATTCCCCTAGCTGTCTGGAAAGACACTTTATTGTGATATCACCAGTGTTGAGTAGCCTTGGTTTTCAGTTCTGTTCTGTCTTCTTTTCACTGATACATTATTGGATGTTTCTCATTTTTAATTCAGTTTGTTCTGTGTTACTCAGCCACCCTTAACAGTATGTTACATACAATAGATCAAGCTCACTTGGGATCCATTGTTACTCACTAATTATACATTAAGACCTGGGGTTTTAAAGCATAACTATGGATAATTCAATTGTTAAAGTAGATGGATATGCCGTCCCCTTAAATTTGTTCAGCAATATCTGTTACTGAACTGCGTCCTGTATCCCCAGTTGAAAATTGAGAATGAGAAAGATAGGAATGGGAAGGTCTTTTCCTCCCTTCTGGGGAACTTATTTTGAAAGGGTAAAAATCATTGTTGTGGCTAATATATTGGCTTTTTATAACTTCTTTTTCTTTCACAGCTGCCTTATATCTTCATTTCAATCATGTTTGGAAGTGTGTGTATTAAAGAAGAGTATGGGGAATCAGGATTTCTTCCAGTTCTTTTGCCAATAATTTTCTCTTTAGTCAATATATATTTCCTGCTATCATCTTCAACATTTTTTAAAAAGCAGAATACATTTATTGAGAAAAAGCTTCTGTCTCAGAGACAGAAGGGGTCCCCAGTGGATTGTGCCCCCCCCCCGCCTTTTTTTTTTTTTTTTGGTACCAGGGATCCAACTCACAACCTTCTGTTTGCAGGTAGCCACTGTGCCAATGAGCTATATCCCCAGCCAACACTTTTAAAAATTGGCATTAACATTAATGAATTTTTGTTGTTTTTCTTTTGGTTTGGTTTTTTGTTTGTTTGTTTCTGTTTGAGACAGGATCTTGCCATGCAGTTCATCAGGCTGGCCTTGAACTTACCCCCAAATTGGCCTTGAACTGACAAGGATCCTCCTGTCTCAGCCTCCCAAGTGCTGAGGTTACAAGAGTGAACCACCTTGTAAACACCTGACTAACATTAAAGAATTTTATTTTTTAAATTTAATTTTAAAGGGAATAAAACAGCAGCTAAACAAATCAAAACAGTGATAACACAGCAGGAAATCTATAATACTTAATATATTACCTATTATTGTTCTCTAAATAGTTGCTCAGCTTTAGGCTTGCAAAGTCAAACAACACAGTTCCTGCAAATCAGCTGGTTGCTCATAGTGGAAGGAGGAGGGAGGGGTCTGTTCTCTCCCCAGCCCCTGCAGTGGCTAGCTGCAGGTGGGGCTTAACTTCCTTGTTCTCCCTGATCTGCACTCCAGTGGGCTCACAGAGTGGGGCTTAGCTTCCTTCCTCCATTATTCTAATACATCTTACTGCACTACAAATCAAAGGTGTCCACTGTTGGCTTACTAATTGGTAACAAGACTGTAGATAGTGGCAACTCCTGTTTTCATGGTCTATGGGTCTAAAGGAACATTATTTCTAAAATAACATCATTGTATCCCATGTCAGCTATAAAAAGATCTATAATATTCTTCCTATCACCTATACTGCAGGTTCTTATAAATAAAAAAAGAGGAAAAAAAAACTTACTTTGACGTTATTAAGGGACTAAAGTATGTTGGGAACCACTGAAAAATTTTGTGGGGTACTTAAATCATTGAAAAGGAACAAGGATCCATAAAGAATGCAAAAGAAAATTTGTTGTTTCTAAAAGAATTGAATTCTAGGGACATTAACCCTAAAAGCTGCTTTAAGTTGTATTGCCTATTCGATCCTTTTTCGTCTATTTTTTTTTAGACAATCAGCCTTCTGTCACCCCTGAAATGTCTCTTTTCTTGTGTTTATATTTCTGGCATTTGGTAATAGTTGAGGATTTTTCAGAGGTGGCTTGATCTAGTGTGTGACATTGGAATTGATTCACGGTGCAGTGCTATCTCAATGGCACTAGGATTTAAGATGTCAGTGCTACCTGCCCTAAGTAGCCTGGGTAAGATAAAAGGGCAGAAATACACTGCTAAGGTCTCTTGTTAATGTCTTCTGCTTGCCATGAACTGGTTCTCCTCTGCATTGCTCCTCTGTGGAGCCACCCCACCTTGGAGCCAGCCAGTTATGGGCTGAAATTTCCACAAACTGCGCTAAATAAAACTTCCTTCTTTAACATTGTCAAGTAATTTATGCGAACAACTAGTGAAAAGTAACTAAGACACGGCATAATATAACTTTCTGAGTGTATAAGAGATGTTTTTTTTATTTCTAGCTAGCTAGCTCAGTGACAATACTTTCCTAGTGTGCAGAAGACTCCAGGACCAAGCCTCAGTCCAAAAAAACCATTTTGTTTTTATCTTCATTGAGTGTATGTATAAAAACTCATGGATTTTGAATTATATAAATTATACCTTAATAATCCTGACCTGAAAGATATATAACATATGACAATAGTTTTTATCTAACCTAGACTTTTCAAACTCTCAATGTCATGGGAAAAGTAAAGTAGGGTGTCTGAACTACATCTAAGGAAACTGCAGAAATTACACAGCCAGAGGAAATGAATGAGCTTGAAATGTACTGTGGTCTGAAATACTTCAAGAAAACAACTAATAAAGTAGTGTTTGTACCATTGGGAGTATTTCTGTGTGAACTAAATGGTTGAATATGGACTAATGTTACATAATTAGGGTGAATTTTGGAACATTAAATGGATGATATGCTTACGCAGAACAATATCTTATTAGGAGATGCATACTGAAGTATTTAAAACAAAAAAATTTTTAGAGCTTAATTTCAAATGATATTTGAAACAATTTACATGTCTGCCATGGTGGCCCATGCCTGTAATCTCAGCTCCAGGGAGATTGAGGCAAGAGGATCCTTGCAAGTTCAAGGGCTACAACCTGGGCTACAAAGTGAGCTCAAGGCAAGGCTGAACTGCATAGCAAGACTCTTGTCTCAAAAGGAGAAAAACAAACTTGCAGAAGAAACATGATCATTTCTGAAGTAGTTGAAGAATTTGTAAGCACACATTACATTCTCTGGACAATTTTTTTAAATTTAGTTTAATGCTTTGATTTGAAAAAAATCAGGCGGCAGGTCCAAGGCGCACGCCAGCGACAGGCTACAGGTCGCGGTGTGTGCTGGCGACAGGCGGCTGGGCCCCAGCGCACGTGGGCGACAGGGGGCAGTCTTCCAGCCTGCACTGGTGACAGGCGGCAGGCAGCTGGCGCGCACCGACGACAACAAAGTAGGCTGACGGCACGCGCTGGCGACAGGCCGCATGCTGCGGGTGCACGCTGGCGACAGCCCGGCTGGATGCCAGCTCGTGCCAGCGATAGTCCGCAGGCCGACGGCATGTGCGGTGACGGGCCGCAGACCGCCGGTGGGTGCTGGCGACAGACAGCATGCCTCCTGGTTCACTGGCTTGCCTTGGCGACAGTGGCAGGGCGGCCGAGCGAGGCACCGACAGAATGAGGGCCGCCGGCCGCTGCAGCGAGTCGCGAAGGCTTCCGGCACGTGTAGGCAACAGGCCTCGGGCGGTGGGGCGGGCAGAGACAGCAGGCAGGCCGCAGGTCTGTCGGCAGAGCAAGCCTGTGTCGTGTTCCTGTCGCCGGCACTCACTCCTGTGGCCAGCGGCCTGTGGCCGGCACGCGCCACCTCATGCTTATGAATTGTCTCCACTGCAATATACTAAGACTATAAGAAAAGGAACACATTTATGGGATAAATAATATATGACATACCTAGGTTTATTACATGATTTCATTATGTAATTCCTTCTGATTAATAATGGGAAAATCCCCACTATTACGCTGATTTACTAGAATGAATACAATTTAGATTATTTAAATATTGCAAAATATGCATATATTACAAATTATAGAATAATAAGTAATCTAAAATATAATATGTTACAAATCAATTGATTAAAAATGAGCATTACATTATTTATTTAAGAAAAATCCAAACATACAGGAAGGAAATGTGCATGTGTATAATCTTTTGGCATAATAATTTCAAAAAAGGAAAAAGAAAAATATATTATGGAAAAAATATTGTTTTCAATAAATATGTTTTCTCACATTGCTTTAAAGGCGAGAACACTGAAAATCTGCTCACATCAATTTTCATGTGTATAATATACCATCATTCACTGTACTCAGCATGGTGCACCAAAGATCTCTTGAACTTACTCCTGATTCTTTTTAAAAACATTTTAAATCACCAATTGTCAGTACCAGAGCTGGGGTCAGCACCAGGGGGGTCAGCAGGAGGGGCGTCACCACCAGGGGGGCGTCAGCACCAGGTGGGGGTCAGCACGGAGTGGTGGGGGGCAGAGGGGGGTGAGTCAGCCCCGTGAAGGTGAGAAGCAGGAGGTGGTCATCACCATGAGGGAATCAGCAACAGGTGGAGAGTGGGGAGGTTCAGCACGGGGCTGGGGAAGAGGGGAATCAGCATCATGAAGTTGATAAGCAGGAGGGTGGTCACCTGGAGGTGGGTCAACAGGAAGGGGGTCAGCAAAAGGGGGGGTTAGTACCAGGTGGAGGGTCAGCAGGACAGGGGTCAGCACCAGGGGAAGAGTACACTGGGAAGGCATTCAGCTCATGCCTTGTGGCACACCAAAGCTTCCTGGCTTCTTGGTGTCTCTGGGTGGGACCCCACCATGTTCTGCAAAAAATACTAAAGATGCACAACTTGGTGTATTTTACTAAGCAGGCCTTCAGTTCACAGTACTCAACACATGGCGGCTCCCAGTTATCTGGATGTCACTGTATGGGGCCCAAGCAAGACCTGAATGATCTACGTATTTGGAAATTGCTTTTTCTCTCATTTCATGGTGTCTTCTGATGAATGAATGTTCTTAATTGTAATTAGATTACATGCTACATTAGTCTGTTGATATTTTAATTAGTGTTATTTTGTATCTTGATTAAAAGTCCTTCCTGACTTCCAGATCATGAAAATATACTCCTGTATTACCTTCTAACGGTTTTATAGATTGCCTAAATATTTTTATGTAGTTATTACTGTTCTGATAAAGCTCTCTGGACACCTAAGCCAAACTCTAAGGCAAGAGTTATACTGAGGGAAAAATATTTTTTTCAAATCAAAGCATTAAACCTTTATTATATATCAAATTTATGGAAATGTCTATTTTGCTCTATGTTAATGCTATACTATTTTATTAATTGTAATTATCTGCATTATTTGCTTTTTTCAAGTATTCAGAATTCAGTTCATTAAAGTCTCAAAATGATTAGAATTATTTTGTCAGTGTCTTATTCGGACTTGGATTAGTGCTAAATTGAATTGATAAATTAATTTGTAGAAATAAGCATAATTTGAATAGGACTATTTCTTTGAGGAATGTGATATGTTTCTACATTTACTCAAATTCACTTTTGTATGTCCCTTAGTAATATACTTTCCAAGACATTTTTCATTCTTTATATCTAGTTAATTGAGTGTTTGTTACTGTAATTGACTTTTTTCTATTATGTCTTTGAGTTAGTAATTCCAAGTATGTATGTAGAAATGTAATGTTTATTGTATAATTATTTTATTACAAGCCAGTTTAATTAATTTGTTTTTTGAGTGTTTTGTTTTGTTTTTGTCTTTTTGAGGCAGGGTTTCACTATGCATTTCAGGCTGGCCTTGAACTTACTTTGTAGCTAGACTTGAACTTGCAGCGATCCTCCTGCCTCTTGCCTCAGTCTCTGGAGTACTGGGATAGGCATGCACCACCAAGATGAGCTTGGCTGTTAGTTTGAATGAAACTTTACTTAGGCAGCAAATCATCTAGCCTTCAGTTAAATGGTTATCTAATTTAATTCTTTTCCAATATAAGTAAATTTTCTTTATGTATGTATCTTATTTGTATAAAATTACCAAAACAATATCAAGTAATAGCAACGAAGCACCAAAATTAGAACGTACCTGAAATTTTTAAAAGTTAGTAGTTCTGGATTGAGATGATAGCTCAATGGTGGAGTGCTTGCCTAGCAAGGTCCTGGGTTCAATCCCAGCTAACAATAATAATAACTCTGGTGCTTCCTAAATTGAATATGATTTTGGATGTTTGAGATATCTTTATCTTACATTTCTGTTTTCTTTATTTTGAAAACCAACTGTGGGAATTGGATACAATGTTATGGTGAGATTGGCACTTACCGTATTGTATTACTTTAATATGAAACTCCAATCTTTTTTAATTATTTAGATTTTTATATTCATATTTGTTACTTAAATTGGTTTGTATTTTTAAGTAGTTTTTCACTTAAAAATAAGATTTCTCATTTTGATTTATAGGCTGGAGGAGTTTTTATCCTTTTTCAAACATTAATCATTGTTAAAAGAAAAACAAAAAAACAGCCTTCTAAGCAATCCAAGTAAACTAAATCTCTCCTGAGGAAAGTCATAATTTATTTATTTTGTCTTTTTTGAGGCAGGGGTTTCACTATATGGTTCAGGCTGGACTTGAACTCACCTTGTAGCCCAGGCTGGCCTTGAACTCACAACAAACCTCCTACCTCAGCCTCCCGAGTATTGGGATTGCAGGCATGTGCCACTATGCCCAGTGAAATGTATATTTTCATATAGCTAGTGGCACATGAACATATTTTAAAGACTGACAAAAAGTAGAGGACATAAATATAATGAGTTAATAGCATTCATATTTAAAAGATTTCTAGAAATTAATAAAATCTAATAGAAATATGAATTTAAAGCAAGACATAAAATCATTAGCAAAAACATGAAAATTTGTTAACCTTTACTGTTTGTGAGTATATTAGTTGGTTTTCTGATACCAGGAAAAAACAAATCTGAGACTAGGAAGTACATAAAATAAAGGAGATTTTAGCTCACAGGTTTGGAAGCTGAAAGACCATGATGTGGTGTGCATTATTTAGCCTGCAACAAGGTCTCCTTTGGCTTCCTCACAGCATAGGAGAAAATCAGAAAAAGAAATGAGCACATTAAAAAAAAGAACAACAAAAAAAAACTAGGCACGTGATGTGATAACAGCCTTGTCTCCCAAGAGCTAACTCATTTTGTGAGAGGAGCAGTAATCCCTTCAAAGACAGCAGGTACATGACCTAATTACTTTGCATATGAATCTCTGGGGAACACAGAAAAACCATAATCAATAGTATTGAGGAAAATGCACATTACCACAATAATGGAATTCTGTTTTCACCCAATACATTGCCAGATTTAAAAGATTCATATAATTAAATGTTCCTGAGCATGTGGAAACTGATACACCTTGATAAGTAATAATTTCCTATTAAATAATTAATATTTACTTAACTTTTTTTTTTATCGGTACCAGGGATTGAACTCGCGACCACTTGCTTGCAAGGCAGGTGCTTATGCCACTAAGCTAAATCCCCAGCCCCAATAATTAATATTTAATAATTAACTATTAAAGTTAAAAATGTTATCTTTTTCTCCAGAATCTATCCAGAGATAGTAGCAAAAGATACAAATTATATAAATGCAATGATACCACTGAAACATTTTTCTTGTTTTGCTTTTGCTATAGCAATAGATTGAAACAATAAATGAATATTAGTTGGAGAATGATTGAATAAATCATGAACCACAAAAACTGAACAACCTTTAAAATAAAAGAAGTCAATCTTACATTCTGACTACAGATACTTCTAGAAAATAGTTATGCATGAAAGAAAATTGTAGGCAAATATGCTACTAGGTTTTTAAATGTGTAATACATACGTAATTATGTATAAACTCTGGAAAATAGGATGTTGATATACTTTATATCCTTAACAGCAATTTACACTGATAAATGAGGCAGAGGAACAGAAACCAGAGAAATTCATTCTCAGTGAAAAATTCATTTAGTATGTTGTATGTAATACTTTATATTACTTCAAAATGCTACAAGGCTTTTGAATGATCTTTACTTTGGCAGAAGACCGAATGTAGGTGTTAAGAAGCTCATCAAAAGCCTATTATTTTTGGAGCCTTAGTCTCATATCTATACAATGAAACTAAAATTCTTTCCAAAAGACGTTTGACTCTTTTTATAATTAAATCCTCCTTAAGTAAATGAAAACCTACTACATTTTCACAACAGTGAACTTTTACATTTCAAGGCAAATGGCATCATTGGAAAAGTATGAGTAATCCATGTACCCATATAGGCAGTTTCCAGTACAGAAACAGCATGTGATTATTAATTGGGATACGTCATCTTGACTTAAGTAAGAACCTCCTAGTGGATTAGTAAAGCTCTGGGTATGTCTGTGGGTGGTTGACAGGCAGGCCATGAACTGAAGCTTATAACCTGAACAGAATAAAAAGAAAAAGAAGGAAATCGTCCATTTTCTTTGGGGAAGTGCTGTTCTTTCCCACTGCCTTTGGACACTGGTTTCCAGTTACTGCTGGCTTCTAACACGGATTCAAGTTTTCTAACAGACTCACACTGGTGACTGCCGCAAGTTTTGAGGCATTTGACCTTGACTGCTACTGGAACTCTGACTCTCCACTCTGCAGATAGCCAGTGTGAATTCTTTGGTCTTTGATCTGGCAGAGCCATTAGGATTCTTCTGATTCTGATGCTGTAAGCCTACCTCTTAAATATCTTATATGATCATACATATGTTTTATATCAAATCTGTTCCTGAACATTAATATACCAAGTGATTAAAAAGTCATTTGCAAGTTGCTACTAAACTTGGTGGTGATTAGGAAATAGGAGAGCAATTTGCTTCTATTTGAAAAATCTGAGGAAATATTACTAACTTTTTTCTATAATCTCTGAATTTGCTTGAAACATACAACATGTTTTCCCATAGCAACACTGTTAAACATGTCTGTAAATTCTGAAACCAAACTGGAAAAGTTTGTTCAACTTAAGTGTGACTAAGCTATAGTACTAATAGTATATTTGTTAAATATAAATATTGAGTAAGATTGAATAAATGGATACATCAATAGAAAGGGACAGAAAGTTCACTGGATTGTGTGCTCTGGGAGGAGAGAACTGATCTTATTCATGGTTGTATCCCCAACACACTGCCAAATGGCTAGTTCTCGGTAAAGGTTGAATGAATTATTAAAGAGCTATCCTCATTGGGTATGGAAATAGACTTCTACAATAATTTATGCATGTTTTAACCCACTATGAAAGCACAACCTTTTCAAAAAGATACAATTATTTTGTAAAGTAAAAGATGTATAAAGAATATTTTTATTCAGTTACTGATAGGAGAAAGGATAGGTAGCTAATCCAAGGAAATTCCAAAGACAAGGTAGAAACAGAGTCACTCAGGAGTGTGACATGAACTTAATAGATGCAAAATGGTTGAATTCCATAGGGAAATAATCAATTGTGTCTTCACCAGCAAAAAAATAATTGGCATTACTAGATGTTTACTTCAACTAAATAAAGTAGTAAAATAGCTCAAAAGCAACAAAAGGAACTAATAATAAGGAACAGTGATTTAAAGAACACCTAGCATTTCATGGAAAAACAATACTTTTTTGTAATCTCAAAGTTTTTTATAATTTTTCCTAATTTCCTGTCCTTGTGATGATAACTTCAAAGGTTGTGCTTCTTTAAGCACAAAAAGGCTAGCTATATATAACTTTCTTTCTGATTATTTACATTAGTGAAGCAAGGGCATGAATCAAATTGCAGCCTGTTTTACTCAAAGTCTGATTTTTTTATCTCCTCAAAGCTAAGAATAGGCTTTGCATTTTAATAGTTAAAAACATGAAAAGGTGAATAATTTTCTTTCTTTTTTTTTTTTATCGATATCCGGGATTGAACTCACGATCGCCTGCTTGCAAGGCAGGTGCTTATGCCGCTGAGCTAAATCCCCAGCCCCAAGTTGAATAATTTTCAACACATGAAAATAATATGAAGTTCACACTTCAGTCTTATTGAATGTTTATTAGGCACTGCCACATTTATTTATTTACGTAGTTTATGGCTGCTTCCTTTCTACAATGGAAAAGTCACAGAGATAGTATGGTTTACAAAACAAGGCCACGACTAGAGTGAAACTCTTATAAACCTATCATAAATTTAAAAAATTATAAGTCAAAAGTGCATTTAATACACCTAACCTACTGAATATCATAGCTTACCCAATCTGTCTTCCTTAAACATGCGTAGAGCACATGCACAACCTACAATGGGACAAAATAATTTAACACAATGCCTATTTTATAATAAAGTCTTAGATGGCTCATATAACCTATTGATCAAAATTGAAAACACAGATTTTACTAAATGTGTGTTGTATTCACAACATAATAAAGTGGAAAAAAATCATAAGTGAATCATCACACATGGGACCATGTGTATATTTTAAAACCATAAGAAGATAAGAACAAAATCAGTTAAACAGACAAGATCAGTATTACTGATTATTTTCCTTGACAGAGACAGAGCTCAGAACATGCTAACCTAAAATGTAGCCCCTTGGAATACTGTATATTTTAATCTGAAGGAATTTGAGAAGAAGGCAGAAACAGCAGGCCACTCCAATCTTCTCCAGAGCCTTCGTCCCAAAATTAGATCATAAGACTTTGTACAAGAAGTGCCTTTGTATGTAGAAGAAACAGGCACCCTCAACTTGAAAGGCACACACCAAGAATCTGAACAAAAACACTTTGCTAGACTTCCTCTAATTTATTGTCAAGAGGTCGGTCATCGTCTTTGCCCTACCCTGTCTCTATGAATGTCCACTATTCATCAAACCTGTTACAATAAAACAACTCAAGAATTACCGTCTTTGAGCCTTTATTATGATGCCTTCCCTGTGAATACATTTACTGCTTTTCTCTTGTTAATCAAAAAAACATACATTAAATAAATTTAATGTTTTTCTCTTGTTTATCTGTCTTTCCTTATAGGGCCTCAGCCATGAACCTAGAAAGAGTAAAAGGAAAGATATTTTTCCTCCTCTACAGCCTAAGGCTCATAGTTGGCTTGGCATGAAACAACTGTATCTCGTGTGCTTCACTTTGGTCCTGGCCCTGTTGCAAAGCTTAAAATATTAGCTTCTTTCAGAAAAGTTTAGGAAGAGAGATATAAAAAAACCATATATGCTTCCTTGGCTTTGTTTTTCAAACTTGAGCACTAAGTGGTAGCATCATAAAATAAACTTCTGTTTGGTTCTTTCTCAAAACCTCTATCCTTGTATGGAATTTCTCATTTATAATGTATTGTTTTCCTTAAACTATTGATTTGTTTTTCTATAGCCTCTTGGAATTCATTGATATTTTTGTTTGTTTGTTTGTGCAGGGTCTTCTTATGTAATCCAGACTGTCCTTGAGCTATGTACATCAGATTGAACTCATGACAATCCTGCTTCAGCCTCCCAATTGCTGGAATTATAGGCATGTTCCACCAGCCCCAGTTATCATTGGTATTTTTAGAAACCACTCTTCTGAATTCTTTATCTGATATTTCATATGACTTAATACTCTGGAGTCATTTGCTATGGAATTATGAACTTTTGGAGTCGTAATTTGCCTTTTTATTTTCTTGTGTTTATGTGTTGTAATTAGCATAGTGTTGTTTGGAGATATCTTCTATCTTTATGTGAGGCTGTTTTTAGGAAACAGATTGTTTTTGATGATGTGTTCTTAGATATTCAGTTATTGTGAATTGTTGAGTGCATTTCCAAGTGTGTTTCATAGAATAGTTTCCCTTGTTGCTTCTTTGGTGGTGATAAGTATATTTTGATGCAGTACGCACTTTGTTGGAACCTGAGGATCCTGCTTTCTACTGTATAAGTGTGAGTGAGGTCTTTCTCTTGGACCTGGAAATTATAGTTACTAGAGTATATATGCCATGCCCTCTGCAATTACTACTCTAATCTTGTCAATAATGTGCATTCCAAAAGGATGTAGGACTGATATTTGCTGACTCCTCTCATATGTGCAGTTTCTACAACCTTGTTTTCTCTGTCGCCGTAGGTGTTGAGGTCCATGATCAGCTCTTCAGACACCTTCTCCCCAACTTCATATCCACTTTGAATCTGGCCATTGGTTTGGGGGTTTTATTTCCCTATTCTCTGAGTTAAGTGTTTGCTGAAGTTTGAATAGGACTGGGTTGCACATAGAACCAAGATGTGCTGCTTTTGACCTGTGCTTAGAGAGTAGCTCATGAGGAGCATGTTTATTCAAAGTACTTAAAACTGTTATGCTTGATCTCTAGCACCATGTAGAAAGAGTGAAATGATTAGCAGTAACAACAACAAATAGCAGTGAACCAGATACAGCAAGGAAAAAATCCAAGTTCCAGTTGTGACATCCTAACAGCATCTATAGGAATGGTGTTATAGTCAGGGTTGTACAGAGATAAATAAGAATCAGGACATGGAGTTTATAATATTATTTTTTATAATGGTCACCAGGAATTAACACAAGAAAATGCAGGAAATCTATCCACAACACCAAAGACAAACAATATTTAGCCAAGAGCCTGAATCCCACAGCAATGTCCCACATGAGTCCAGATGAAGACCCAAAGATCATGACAATGCCTTCCACGAGTCCTATTGGAGGTCCAGAGCTCACAAGAAGAACTCATGCCAGTATCTTACGGATCCATGCTGGGAAGGCCCAAAGGTCAGCAGTGGAAGCCAGAATGTCCATGCCAGTGGAGTGAAGGAGCTGTGCTGGTGGGACGAGGGTTCTACTCTGCACCCGAGAAGTCACACTCATAACAAAGATCAGGGCTGACCTAAAAAGCATCACAGCCATCCTCAGTGACATGGAGGCTCCGAGCTCCTCGGATGATAAGCACAGTTGAGTACATGCAAGGAAGCCAGCATGACAAGTTTATCCTGGACACCAAGCATCACATGTCTTCCCCTCCAGAGCCAGGAAGCAGTGCTTGATGTGAGGACCAGAGCTTCTCCAGGAAAGTCAATGGCTCAAACAGCAACATGTAGGAGAACCCACAACGCCTCCACACCTCCAGGCCTAGCTTGTCCTTCTCCACGTCTCTATTTATGCTGGCAACTTTCCTCAGGTAGAACATCTACACTCAGCACCATGCTGATGTAATCCAGCTGGCATTAAGTTGACCACCAGTTCTTAATCCATGATAAATGGTAAGGGCAGAAATAATATATTTTAAATAGCGATGAAATTGTTTTTAATTAAGAGAAGAAAATGGCAGAAGGAAAGCAAAGAAAAAGAAATAAAGCCATTTTTTGTTGAGTCAGGGTCTTGTTATTTACTTCAGACTGGCCTTGAATTCACTACATAACCAAGGCTGGCCTCAAACTTGTGGCAATCCTCCTGCTAGGACTATAGGAATGCACTACCACACCCAGCTAATGAAATTTAGAATTAAGAATATTCAAAAAACTAAACAAGAAATCAGAAGAACGGTGGAAAGTGAAGGCCACCCAGGAGGTCAAGGCAAGAAGACCATGAGTTCAAGGTCATTATAGACAATCCTAAGAGACCCTGCCTCAAAACAAAATAAAACAATAAGCATCAGCTTGCTAACTCAGTTGTGGCCTAGGATCAATCAGTCAATCAATCAATCAATCAATCTCTCTTTCTCTCTCTATCTCTATCTCGCCCCCCCGAAAAAACAACAAAAATCAAAAATTTTAAATAACAAATAAATACAATGAAAGTAAAAGAATGTTGACTTAACTATTAGAAGAAAACAGTAAAAGTGCTAAAGGCATGAAAGTATAAAAAGAAAATTTAATATGTATGTGAACTAATCAGCAAATTAATGAAAATGAAATAATCATCTCCTCTGAGGTGGTCAAACGTGTACAAGAGTGGATATTCACTACCTCTGCCAGTCTCTACTGCTTTTCACACCTTAGACTGTGCATGCCTCAAGGAAAGCAAGGCTGAAGGTTATTTACACCTTCCTTTTATACTGTTCACTTTTGTACTGGAGGTGTTTGGGGCTGGAGCTGCCTGGAGAGACTCTTGGGTTCATTGTTCACCAAATTCAGGTTCCACAGAACAGGACATTCTATGGGCAGGAGTTTGCTTTGAACAGATTAGTTCAGTGAACAACAAAGGACAGGCTGATGCCGAGCTATGTTATATGTTTGGGCTTCTAGTTCCCTTTGAGAAGCCAACTCAGAGGGCAAGACAACCAATTGCTCTAGCTAGAGGAGCACAGCAGGTCCCATGCAGTCTATCACCTAAGCTAGGACTTTCCATGGCCCAGTCTTTGCATGCAGTCACATTTGGTTAGCTTCCAGGTCCTTTTCAGCTGCTGCTTATCAGTCTTAAAGGGCTAGAAAGCTCCACTTCCATTTATTATTCTGACCCCAATCTGTACTATATATAGATATATAGATAAAGATATATATTCCTTAGTGGGCCTGCTTTAGTACCAATTCACTGGAACCACACTAAGCCACAAGGTAGTGGCTAGCCATAAGAGTGCAGCAATATTGCTGTGATTACCATGGGAAAGGAAAATTTAAGGGTGTTTGCTTCCCAAAGCAGCAAGCTTGCACTTGACCTTCACAAGATAGTTTCCTGCTTAGTTCTCTGAACCTGTAATAACTTTCACTATTTCAGCACTTGATGGCACCCTAAATCTAGGTTTGCCTTGAATCCATTGTTAATAGGTTGTCACTCCTTTAGCACTAGGGGCAATCCTAGCCCAAAGTTTGTTCCAAGTCTGCAACTAGTGTGTTGTTTCCACATGAACTAGGGGAGGGCCTAATAAGGGTAGTGCTTTCCTGCAAGCCTTTCTCTGGGGCTGGGGTATGCCCAAATGCCTCACACAGTTACTGGCCTAGAGTCAAGTCCTGGGATTTTGCTCAGCTCAGGTCAGAATCAGCATGGAGAGACTAGCCCCAGGCTCCAGGGCCATGCCTGTGGTCACCAATACTGAAGGCTGTGTCACACCCTGAACTTACAGTCCACCAAGGCCAGCACAACACCAGAGAGGGACCAAGACCCACACTGCTATGAGCTGGGTGCTAGTCTCAAGGTAGACTCTAGGACCTTGGCCTTGTCCTATCCTTGACCTGCCTAGCCCAGTTTTAGGAAGAATTCTGCTAAGTCAGTTTAGCAAGTATCCCTCTCACTCTTGACATTTGATCAAATTTCTCATCCCTCACCTTTGTAGTACAAGTTTTTGGCCTATCTTTACCAATTAAGTCAGCTTAGCAAGAATTTCTCTATATTTTATCTCTCCTTTTAGAAATTTCCACCTAATAACCCCTCACGCTGTCTTTTGCTTATAAATCCTCAGATGTCTTTGCAGTACTGCATTGCCCCTACTACCATAGTCTTGACCAAAGTCTTTCTTACCATGTTCACAAGTATCAGGATAGCTTTGTTTTAAACAGTCTTAAATCTTATAGAGGAGGAAAAGTAGATATTTCTATATCCATTCTAGATTTATGACTGAAGCCTATATATGAGAAGATAGATTTACAAAACAAAATCATACAAGAAATAGAGACCCAGGGCCGGGCATGTAGATCAGTGGCATAAGCACCTGCCTGGCAAACACAAGGTTGTGAGTTCAATCCTGGTACCCCCCCCAAAAAGGGAGACCCAAAAGAACAAGTAAATCTGTTTCTCATAGTAGGTTTGATAGAGAATGAGCAGTTATGAAGAAACATGGCAGGTGAACAAAGGGGTATGTTCTAATGATAACAAGTTAGGAGAAACATTGGAGCTGTTTGTTCAGACCCCTTTCTTGTGTTCTTCTTCCTAGAGCAGATATTCTCTTTTTCTACTGTTACTCAGTCCAAACTCAGAAACTCCAAATGCAAAAGGGACTTTATTTAGAGGCTGTTAGGGATTAAAGCTCAGGAAACACAAACTCAAATTGCTTTAAATCATTGTTCCAAAGAAGGCAGGGAAAATGGAAGCTTATATTGAACAAATAACATTCATTTGTTTAATGTGGTACCAGGGATTGAATTCCTGGTCTTTGCACTGAGCTACAATCCCTACCCCACCCCTATCTCCACTGATTATATATATATATGGTTTTTTGGTTGTTGTTATGGGGATAAAACTCACGACCTAATGTTGGCCAGGCAGGCACTTACCCTGTTGAGCTAAATCCCCAGCTCCACTGATATTTTTTGACAGTCTCTATATGTCACTAAGTTGCCTAGGCTGGGCTTGAACTTGTGATTCCTCTACCCCAGTCTCCCGGAGCACTGTAATTATAGGTTTGTACCACAGTTCCCAGCACATTAATTATAAGGCAGTAATAATTATTTTGCTTTCTGTTGGAAATCATTTAAAATCGTTGCTATGAGTCAAGGCCTTCAAAAGAATGTATATATACTCAGCAAAAATTCCCCAAGTCTGACACCCTGTTGATACACATCTCAAGTCTCTGACATCATATAATCTGTTCTACATGTTTGTAGTAAGAATGTAACCAAAGTTAATATTCATGGGCAGCAGCTGAAGTCATGCCTAAGCTCTGCTGCCTAATGGCCGTGTGATCTATTTTGAAGAGCTCTTTTAGTGTTATCTTCATCGCAATTTTTCATTTTATTTCCACATGAGGAGGGAACCGCTTACATATCTACCAGAGTCCTAGGCTAGAAGCTTGATTTCAAGGATTCAAAAAAATCAGTTCTGGCCACCCTGCCCCCACAAAAATAAGCTAAACTAAAATAAGTATAGCTATACATACTGGGAAGACAAGGAGACAGGTGTCCTTACGTTGGGGGGGGTTAACATGAGTAAAGGGTGGGGGAGAAGTATGCATAATTAAAGTCTTGGTCAAAGTGTAGTCTGCTTAATCACTGTCTCAGGACCATCAGTAATAAGAAATTTGTGTTGCCTAATGGGTAATTTTAACTCTCCTCACAAGATGTTTGTCCTATCATATCTGCTCCTGGAATCCAAGGTAACTGCAGTGGAGAATGATTTGGAAAAAGGACAAGAAAGAATAAAGGTAGAACTACTAAGGTTTTTATCCTGCTTTTAGTTACCTGTTGGGCATTTGCAGGCCTAGGTGAAGTCAATCCTTTTTAGCAAAACAGCCTATAAGTCCTTGTTTCATAATGGTCTTATGACATCAGGTAAAGGCCAGATAAATCTATCCTGCATCAGTGGACAAGAATATGGGGAAATTGGGAGTGATTTTAATTTTTCTGCTGCTTTCTCAAATGCCACATTTCCATATTTTGGGGCTAGTGTGTATCAATCTTCCTAATCATTATTCTTATTATTTACTATGTTCAAACAATAGAATTCATTTCCTGCTCTCAATTTCCCTTCTCTGTGCCATTTTTATGAGGAAGTATCAGAGGTACTGTGTATCAAAGCATAACACACATTTTTAAGCATCTCACAATTATTTTCCTCAGACAGAAATTGATGACCCACTTTGGTTGTGTCAAGAAGGTACTGCCTCCCTTGAAATTTCTATCTAAATATTCCTAAAATCTTATAGGAAATCAGTTATAGCTTAGAAAAATGAAAAAATACCAGTTTTCTTTTTCTGCAAATCTAGTAGAAATCTTGAGGCTGAATATAACAAGGCTCGTTCACTTGATAATAATCCTGGGTAATGGGTTAATGAGAGGGAAACAAAGAGGAAGCAGAAAAAGGGAGTACTGAGGAAAGGAGTAAGACAAGTATTTTGGAAAGACAGAAAAAAGATCAAGTTAGAGCTATTGAAGGAAACAAATGTTTTGTGAAGATTTCACAGAATGGAGCAGCTGATTGTTTTTTTAAGGATGACAATGAAAATGACAATTCACTTTCATTAATGACGTGTATTTAAATTCTATGTTGTGGTCTCAGGCTAGACCGAGAAATGATTCCCCATTATATGGCTTTGAAGCCTTATAAAGTTTTCACTCATTAACTGGAATGGTTTTATTCTGGGCTGTTTGATATTATTGTCTGTGATGATATGAACAGCTGTTTGAAGAAAACAAGACATCATAATAGCTAGTGCTGATTTATTATCATCTTGTTTTGAAGTCCCATCAAACTGTTATTCTTCTGTCTCCATTGCTTTTATCATGTGGTATCTTATTGGATTTTATTATATGTGATAGTATAAACAAAATTTTTTATAGGCAAAGAGATAATATAGAAACCATCATTCATTTTCTGATAGCTGGTTCCAAATACCCTGTAATACTTTCATCCTCTTGAATGGTTTCACATTTTCTTGATATGTTTGATGCTATAGTATATGAAGTTATACTCAAATATTTCAAGGAAAGAGACACTTTGGTAACTACTATTAAGTTGGGTTATTTTGTGGTGAAATGCTATGTTGCTTAAATTGTTCTGTTCTGACCTGGATTGTTACGTTGTTACTTCCTCTTTTATCTCAATCTCTCCCTTTTTAAAAAATGTATTTTTTATTATTATTATTTTTTCAATTAAAGGAAATTTTTTTTAAAAATTAGTGGGATATATTATAGTAACTTTTTTGATTTCCTATTAACTCAATTTGAAGCCCTCTATTGCTCTCACCATCTTGTTTTGACTGATTTTACTCTATTCTGTTCTGTGTGATAGTATCAATTTTAAGCGTATAGGCAACTACTTTGAAGGCAATAAGATTCACTATGATGGCCATTCTGGTTTGACTACTATCTTCTCTTGAAGTTCAGTAATGTCTCCAATGTTTTGATTTTATTGGTTTTGTTCTGTGCTGTTTTATTAAATTTTATTATACCAGATGATATAGGCAATTCTTTTTTACGGTAGCAAGAGGCAGTATGTTAACCATTGTTGATTACCCTGTATTCTGTTTTTACATTGTGTACTATGTCCATCCTTTGTTTTGACTGACTGCTTTGTTTTGTCACATTTGGTTTTATTCTCTTCCACAAAAAATAAAAGTAATAAGAACTGTGGGAGTAATAAAACCCAAAAGGTGTAATTGTTATTGTAAAAAATATAGGAAAAGAAAGTGCTCTAAAGGGCATAACTTCAAGTGTGTTTAGGTGTGTAAGATAGATGACCATATTACTAAGTTTTTGTTGGGTCATTGAAAACAACTGTTTGCAGTCTCGCTGTTTGAATGTCCATTTTGTATGCTTAATTTTGAAATTTGAACAACTATTTCTAAGATGACAATATGTAATGTATTAACTAGTGATTTCTTACTGTTTATTTTTTAAAAATTCTGTATTACTTGTACCCTTTTACTGTTTTGTTTTGTTTTGTTTCTTTAAATAAATTTTTTTTAAAAAATCAAATTTCAATCTCTGAAAAAAAAAAAGAAATTAATGAAGAAACAAGATGCTTCCAAGACAAAAAGGAACTTGGGAAATTTGCAACCACCAGTCCAACTCTACAGAGAATACTGCAGGGCATTCTAGAGAGAGAGAAATGTACTAGGCTTCCAGGAACAGTGGCAGACAGGCTTCAATGAATGGAGCAGAAACAGAATGAAGAAGATAAGCAGACAACTGATGGTAAATAAAAAAGAGCATAACAGAAATGAGGCAGAGAAGGTTGGTTATAATCTCTAATATAGATGGCCTTGATACACTATATTAAAAAAAAGAACCACACCTGGAGAAGATCAGGAGGCAGGGTCCACCAAGATGCTATTTATAGGAAGTATAATTAACATGAAAAAGAATACATGGACTGAAAATAAAATATGAGAAAGCAATGCTCTATGTGACAGAGAACCAGTGAGTAATAGGGGCAACTAGACCAGTATTTGTGGATAGGTTGGAAAGAAAAGATTTAATAGGTAAAGGAATACAATTAGAGATCAAGTCCAGGAGAGAGAAGGTTCAGAACCACTTAGGTAGGTAAGCAGGTTGACCCCTGCCAATTTAAAACTAAGGGTCTTGGTCAGACCCAAAATGCACAGTGTACCCTGGGGAAGTGAAAGGGGAGGGAGAGTCTTAAAAAGGCATAAGACATTGTTAATAGTGTATTAGTATTTAAAACCCACATTACACGCACCACTCTGCTTAGATAGATTTTATTCATTTTTTAGTTTAGTTTTGTTTCATTTTGATAGATTTTATTCTGTCCCAGTTTGTCTACTTGCAGTAGATTTGAGGGCACAGACAGCTATCGCCAAAACATCAGTATCTAGCACAGTAATCATTTTAAATTTCCTATTATCTTAATGTAGAACCCTGTATGACTTATACTGTTTTATCATGACTGATCTTAGTTAAATCTGGTTTGTTTGATTGCTGTTTAGTATCAACAGATTTTATTCAAAACTGATACGATTGATAGTACCAAGTGTGAGAATATAGGCACCAACACTGAAAAGGAAAAGACTCTACGATATACATTCTGGCTTGATAACTGCCTGTTTTTGAAGTTTTATAATATATACAAAGTTGTGTTTTTATTAATACTGTTATGTACTGATATATTGAATTATACTATATCTGATGATATAGCCAGTTCTATTGCAGATAACAAGAGACAACACAGGAACTATGGTAGAACTCCTTGTACATGGTCTTATATGTCTTTTTTGTTTCATGTGATTATAGGAATGTTTTGTTTTGTCTTGCTTTGTTTTGTTTCTCCCTCTAATACAGAAAGGATAGAAATACATTTAGAGACTCTTGTATGTGTAGAATCTATAAACAGTTTATGAGAACGGACCTTATGATACATGATGAAATGAACAGATACTCTGAAGAAAAAGGGACACTAAAGAACCCAGTGCTGATGCTGAAGTGTCATAATGTGAAACCCAGCAATAGTATTATTCTTTATTCAGAGTGATATTAGCCTGCTTGGGTTTGTTCAATCTCAACTTAATTGAAGATATGGATAACTGCATGTATGTTTAAGTGTATAGGATTGATAACCATATTTCTAAGTTTTTCTTGGATAGTTGAACAGAACTGCATGCAGTCTCACTGTTTGAATTCCCACTTTAGATGCTCCACTTTAGTATCTTGAATAACTATCTGTAAGAGGACAATCTGTAATAATCAAGTAATGATTTCTTACTGTTTGTTTTTTCTTTAAAAGTATGTATTATTTCTACCCATTTTGTGTTTTGTTTAGTCTTTCTTTAAATAAAAAAATTTTTAAAAGACACTACAGTACCCATTGCTGATCCCAGAGTGTCATGATGTGAAATCCAGCAATACTATTCTTTGTTCAGAATGACTTTAGCCTGCTTAATGTCAACATAAATGAAGATATGGATAACTGCATGTATGTTTAAGTGTATAGGGTTGACAACCATGTTACTAAATTTTGTTGGATAGTTGAACAGAACAGTTTGCAGTCTCACTGTTTGATTCCCACTTTATATGTTCCACTTTTGTATCTTGAACAACTATTAAATGTAAAAGGACAGTATGTAAACATTAACTAGTGATTTCTTACTGTTTATTTTTTCTCTGAATGTATGTATTATTTCTACCCATTTTGTTTTGTTTAGACTTTCTTTAAACAAAATTTTAAAAAAGAAATCCAGAAATTACAGTGTCCCGGCATTAAAAAAGAAAACCACCAAACATAACCCAACCTGGTTATGGAGGCCAAGTGGTTGAGTTATCAAAGTTCCCTGTAGGAAATGTGTACAACTTTCACAACTAGAAAGAAGCCAACACAAAGCGGATGTAGTAGCCAAGATTATATTACTAAGATAAACAAAAAAGTAAAGCCCTTCTAATTTAGTAATGTCTTTGTGTTTTGTGGTGCTTTATGTTCTACAAATTTTCGTGGTTTTGGAACTGGGAATGGTGACTTGTGATTCTCATCCTAGCACTTCAGAGGCTGAGACAGGGGGAGCTCTGTGAGTTTCAGACTGGTTTGAGTTACATAGCAATTTCAAGGACAGCCTGAACTGTGTAATGCAACCTGGTTTCAGAAAAAAAAGCAAACTGATGATGATGATAAGGGATTATTCAGAGAATAATGTTCTAATAGTTTTGTCTGCATTCCTTTCTGTAGTTTTCTCTTTGGATTTGGGCAAAATCCCTAGAACTACTTTAAAGATAGAGATCTGGACAGAGAGGTAACTTGCAGAGCATGCAGAAAAAACTGTACACTGTGGAAAATGATGTGTTTCAACATTGTTACACATGCAGGAGAGAGAGTGCACACTGAGAATCAGGTGTAGGGTTTGGGGGAAAGAGGTGGTTGGGATCAGCCCAAGGCTCACAGCCTTTGGGCCTGGTGGGTGAACAGGAGGTCCTCATCAGTGGTGATTTTCTGAGGAGACTGAGGCCTCGTGTATCAGCAGCTGGAAGGCGGGGGCTCCTGACATTCCGTGGCCCCCACCTTCCAGTTCTCTGCTGTAACTGCCACTGTTGCCTGGTGTGCCAGGCACAACTGGCTCCCTCGAGTCTGTCTGAGCCACAGACAGGACTTGTTCAGTTCTGAACTTCACTTCAGGACCTGTTTTGTCAAGAAAAGTCACAAATCTTGTGGGGTGTGTTGATCAACTCTATCTCAACAGTGAGTTACTCGGTGTTCTCCTGTCCTTCCACTGGCCTGAGCCAACCTGGTTGATTTCCCTTGTGTCACTTTACTTTTTTCTCCTTCTCAGTTCAGTTTTTCAGTCAGGGTCTCAGCATGTAGTTCAGGCTTTCTGTGAATACCAAATGTGGCGCAGGCTGGCCTCGAACTCCCAGATGGCTGTGTGGGGATTACAGGCCTGCACCGCCATGCTCAGTTTCTTTGTCTTGGATTTTAACCCACATTGTGTTTGGTTTTCTCCACAGTCCTTGTACAGAAGTCCACACTCTCCACGGTTCCAATGGTGGTACCGCTTAGCCCCGATCCCGGGGCTGAGGTGAATGTGGGCCCATTTCAGAAAGGATACTTGATCTGGGATGGGAGATCCTGAGGCACAGGTTGAGCTCTGTGAGTCAGGTTTTGTGAGACCCAGAGCAGCTCTCAGCTCCATGACCAACGAGGGGCAGAAACATGGTGAGTTCTATAGGTTCACATTGACCAAAATGATAAATGATTCTGTTTTCCTGCACAATTGAAATGGTCTTTAAAAAGTGGTTTTTTCTTTGCTTTATGAAAATAAATTTACCTTCCCACATTGCTAGAAACAAAGTGTGGGATTTTGTGTCCTATCTGAATAGTGAGACTCAAGCATGAACCAGCTTCTCCCGGTTTATAGTGAGGACTAGAGTCGGACCAGTGTAACAACCCAGTTGCCAGATCTGTTGAGGGCATGGAATGATGTGCTTTTCTCAGCACAGTTTAGGCCATTTTGATGAGGGCCCTCCATGTCCCCTGTCAGATCCTCAAGACACATAGCCTCCCTACTGACCTACAGTTCTGGGACCAGTGGCCCCACCTTGCACTGAAGCTTCTGTGGATTCCCAGTTTTTGGTTTTACCTGGAAAAGCAGGGAACAGTGCTAACGACAAGTTTCAGAGGAACTTAGATTCTGCTCCTAACTGAAGTTGTGGCAGCCATCATTGTCACCATGGAGACCAGAGAGTTCTGTGGCAAGGAGGACAACGTGCTTGGTGGGGCACAGGCTCTTATGAGCCCAGGAGAGCTTTCAGTGGAAGGGCGCATCTGTGGTAACAGACTGTAGCAACCATCTGTCTCCCCAGGAGCCCACAGCTCTTGGGAAGGGGACTGGGCAGCAGGTCCAAGTTGACCTCAAGGGTCTGAGCTCTGAACTGTGAGACCACAGTGAGAGAAGGCATGAAGAGGAGAGTGCCAGCTGCTGTCCACACCAAGGTCACAGTGAGGGCGCCACCTCCTGCAGTCAGTCCAGAGCAATGGGCCATTGTCCTGTGCAGAAGCTGAGGTAACTGGGGTGTCAGGGAACTGTGCTCCAGTACTGTCACCTGAGGGAATGTCACCTTCTCTGACCCTGAAGTTGCCATATTGAATCACAGTGATCTCTCCAAATATTCAATGGTAGAGTATTTTTTTTTCTAGTTGAAAGGGTCTCAGATAATAATCAAAAGTGAACCATCTGAAGAAAGTCACCAGCTTAGGTTCAGGTGGAGGCCAACTGTGTACTTCATGAATGTCATCTTTACAATAAGAGTTAATTGTGTTTTGGAGGATACTAAGGTGAGAAAGGAGAAAGCCACCCTGGGCCCTGTGGAGGAACTGTGTGGAGCTGGGTGCTGTGCTGTTCCCTAGTGTAGCACAGGGGTCTGGTGCTCTGGGCCCTCAGATGCCTCCCATGCTGTGATCTGTACCAGTCCCTCCTGCACAGGGTTGCAGTGAGCTCATGAGTTCCTTGCAGTGACACCCTTGCAGCATGGCCTGGTACCGGCCTACACTGAAGCTGAGGTTTTCTAGTCTACCTAAACCCCTGCATTACAGTAAATGTCAGCTCCTTGTGCTGTTCTGCCTTCCACTGTATGCACATGGCCGGCTGAGATTTTCATCTTGAGAAGCTTGTTTCTCCCAGCAATCCCAGCCCAGGGCCCTTGGAGCTCTCTTCCAAGAACAAAGCTGGTGCTGCTTCCTGCCCAGCTAAGGGTGTGCAGTGGGACCTGCAGGCTTGGCCATTGCCTTGGTCTCAGATGCTCACTGAGAGTGTGGGGATGTGAGTTCTCACTGTACATCCCTCCACCTGAGTCATTTGTCTTTTTTCCTTGCCTGCTTGCTTCTCTCCCCTCACCTATAAAATGGGGGTTATTCCATATTACCTGTGTAAGGAACTAGAAAATCAAAATGTGGAAGCACAAGCCCATAGCCCGGTGCTGAGCTGTCCTTGTCCTTGTTGTGGGTGTGGGCTCCTCTGCAGGCGATGCCCACAGTGCATGTCCAGCTGCCCATTGAGGCAGGTGCATGTGTCTCTTCTCAGGCATTGGGAGGAAACATGATGATGATTCTGTGCTCCTGGAGAGGCTTCACACAGAGGAGCAGGACACGGCTGCCAAGTTGCCTCTGACTGAGCAGCTGAGGTAAGGAGATGTGGGGAGGGCATGTGAGTCTCTGCAGGGGGCAGCTGGGCTGTGCGAAGCATGAGCTGGCATGGGCCAGGGAGGGCAGAAACCTCAAGGCCCAGATCCTTGTTACCGAAAATGTTCAGAGGAGAAAGAGGTGTCAGCTCCTGCACTCAAGGTGCTCTGAAGCCTCTCCTCTTAGAAATGCACTGAGGTCGGTATCACATAATATAGAAATACACAAAGGCAGTGAGTGTGTATGTGCATTATTGAGGTGGCAAGCTTTGGAGTGTTGCTGTCCCTCTTTCTCCCAGTCACCTCCTGCATGGTGATGGCACTTCCTGCCTTCATTTAGAAGAAGCAAGTCTTCCTGAGCCTTGGAGCTCTGGTTGCATTTTCTCCAGGGACCTGAGCTGTATGTGGATATGTGTCTGGGCTGGGTGTACGCCCCCACTCTGCACAGGGTGCTGTGTCTCTGTGGAGAGGAAGGGAAATGCCCATTTGGATTACAGAAGACATGGTGAAGGTGATGCTCAGGCATCCTACAGGGGCACTCAGTGATACAGGAGACACCTGTAATGAGCTGTCCTTTCTTCCTCTCATGCAGGGTCTGTCCAAATAGGGTCCTGAGTTCTGCTTGTGGGACCCCCAAGGTCTTCTGATAAAACCTCTATCTGGGCCCTTTGAATGCCTCCTGCCTCTTTGAAGGCTCACATCGCTGCTTCCCTCCACCCTAGGTTGTCCATGCTCCTCATTCAGAAGCAAAAACAAGATCTCTTGGAATTAGCTCAAAAGCTGAATGAAAGGAAAAAAGTGTCCCTGCTCCTTAAGGAGCGTCTGGAGGTCCTCCTCAGAAGAGATCACCCTGAGACCAGCCAAGGCTGTTGCCACCACCAGGGTCAGCCCAAGGGCTGCAGGCTGGCTGAGCAGCTGGGCCACAACCTCAACCCAGGTGAGGAGGCCTCAGGCCCTGATTACACTGAGTGGCTTTAAAGTTCCCACACTCACAAAGCAATGTGTTTGACAAGCTCTTCTGGTGCTTGTGTCCCATGTAGAGCTGTGGCAGGTTTAGGACTACTGCAGCAGAATGCAGAGGATTCATCCACACCATGGGCCTCACAGCATCCCAGAGTCCTTTGTCCCTGAGGGAACCTGACTTGAAGGGGCTGCATCCTTCTAGTTTTAAAGCTGAAAAGAGGATGTGTTAGGAGTCAGCTGGTTAGAATTAAAATCATACTGCTCTAAGTATGAAACGTTCCCATACCCCACCCTTATGGCTGACTGTACCAATTGTGTATGACTGACCACTCCATCCTTCCTGAATTCCTGTCTCCTGGTGTGCAGAAAAGTAGATGATATGGTCTTGGTCACTGTGCTGTGCAGGAAGAGAATAGGCACGGATGCACTTAGGAAAGATAAGGACCTTCCCCCATTGGGTTGGCGTAGGCCCTCCATCCCGTACCCCCAAGAACCTTCAGCACCTTACTCAGAGACAGTTCCCCACTCATGACACAGGAGAGGCTGCTGCATTTCCTTCAGTATGAGAGAGGAGCCACAGTGATGGTTACTGGTCACTGAAGACCATAGTATCCATTAGGTTCCCTTTCAGTGCCGTGCATCCTGTGGTTTTGGGAAGATGTCTGTTGACACAGGTCCTGTTCCAGTGTCAGACACGATAGTTCCCTGACCTGAAGTCCACCATGTCCCTACCCAAATCCATCTATCCTCTCCACAAGATCACAGCAACCAAGTCTCTGTGTATCATCCCTGCCATGGTTTGCAAAGGTTTCCTTCCAGTGTGTGCCTCCCATTTGAGTGATCTCAAGAGAGCAGAGGTTTTCACAGTGTAGCTCACTTGTTCTTTCTCTTGTGGGCTCTGGTCTTTGTTCTGGATGACAGATGCCCCAACACTGTTCACATGGATTTGCTTCTGTGTTGGATTTTCTCTTGGGAAAAGTTTTTGTTTTCACTCCACATTTATAATCCATTCTCATTTAATGTTGCCAAACCTGTAAGGGCTTTGCCTGTCCACCTGTCCCAGCACCTCTCATGAGAGACTGTGCTTTCTCCAGGAATGGCCCTGGCCCCTTCTTGAGCTCTGTCTGTGAGGTCTGATTCTGGGCTCCATTCTCAGGAGCCGACCTGTTCCTGTCCTCCTGACCACTACTCTTTTACAGCTTTCGCTTTCATCTCTACTGGTGTTTGCTTTGTTCCTCAGGGTCTTTTGACTCCAAATAAACTGGAGAATCTACTTGTCCTTTTAAACATCCTCTGCTGCTTTTAAATTGTCATTGCTGGGAATTGGTAAATGGATTCCTGAAGAACCTGATTCACATGTGGGGATTATGTGCATTGATGTAGGTGGTCATTGTGTTTTTACTTATACATGTTTTGCTAAGTTCGTGCATTAGAACTTAAATGTGTTTCCTCGTCAATGTGAGTGATGGTAGGCTTTTACTTCAAACCCCTTGTGTTCATTCCTGACATGCCTGAGAGTGCAATCAATTTGTGTATTTTCTATGTAGCCTGAATTTTTAATGTAATTTTTTAGTTCCCAGGAAGTTTTTATTGGTGCTATATTGTGCTTTTTAAAAGTAGATACTTGTGTTCTTCTGGTGTTAGAGAATACTCTACCTTGGAGTTCCCCCCCCCCCCCAACTCAGTGGTTCCTTTGTTTGTCACATTATTTGTTTTTATTTAAACAGTGTTGTTCCCTTTTTTCTTTGCATGTGGTATTTGGAGATTTCCGTGGATGTTTCTTGAGGTGACAAATGTTGTCCAGGTCATATCTCATGTACTTTGATGCAGGCAAAGGCCTTCTCCACTTCCATTGTGTTCTTCAGTTTGTATCGCTTGGTTCTTTGTGCTCTTTCCCCTCTTCCTGTTAGACCTGCAGGCATGTTCTTCACACGGGAATTTGACTTGCACTGCTGAGAACTCTAAATGCCTGCCTGTCTACTCTCCCTGCACACACTGTCCTCTGTCTGTCAGTCATCTTCAAATTGTTCCTCAGAAGCCAGTTGTGAGGAGCTGGGTGATGTGAGCATAGGTTGATCCAGTGTTCATGGTGTTTTGTGTTTCTATTCTAGGGTTTGTGTGCTATAGCTATTGTTGCCACAGACAAAGTTCTCCTGTCTCTCTCTGTCTGTCAGTCTCTCTCTCTCTCTCACTCTATTTCTCTCTCTCTCTGTTTCTCTCTGTGTGTATCTGTGTGTATTTCTTTTGATGCAGTGTTTTACTGAATAGTTCAGGATGGTGTTGACATCACAGCACTGCTCATTCCTCAGCTTCCCAAGTGCTGGGATAACAGGCTTGGGTCACTACGCACAGCCACTGGAGCACTGTGGTGCTGAAATTCTGTGCCTGTACTTCTTCAGTGTTGCTCCTCTGCTCTGACCTGAGAGCCCTGCTGATGGTGGCAGGTGTGGAAGGAGAGGAAGCAGGACACAGTCCTGGGGTGCCCTCTCTGGTCCTGCTGAGCCTGAGCCCAAGGTTGTCACATTCCCAGCAGCATCTGTCTGACCCCACCACCTGTGCCCTGTGTGCACAGCACTGTGAATTACCTCTGGGCCCCCAGAAATATCAGCAAGTACACAATCTTTAAGAAATTGAGAGCTCATGTGCTTCATCAGGAGATGAGGAGACCTCGTACCCACCCCTAATCTCACATAGATATTTCCATTTCTGTGCCACAGAGGCCCTGGTGTCTGTGATGGGGACAGGGAGCTCCTCCCTGCCTGCCTGGCTATTTGTTAATTTACTTGCAGATATTCCAGGAAAGGAGGAGGATGTTAAAGAGGACTCATCTGTGGCCCACAGGTACCTAGGTAGTCAGGACCAGGGCTGACATGGGACAACACATAAGCCCCAGTAAGAGGCTGGTCCCCAAAGGACAGATCAGCAGGTCCACAGTGCCTAGCCTGCACACACAGAAAGGCAAAGTGATCTGGTGCTCTGAGTCCATTTGCTCAAGCCAAGAGGAGCACCTTTCTGTCAGTGTGTGATGTCCCCATGGGTCTCATTTGTACCCAGTGGACCTCATCAGCCTCTGTTGTGTGGGGAAATTGTGGCTGAGATTGGATCTGCTTCTATAGGGATGGTCTTATGTCATTAGCATGGATTTCACACCAAGAGATCTAAGAAGAAAACTGTGAGTCAATCCATCCATCCATGGAAAGATGCTGCACTGCACGAGGTCTTAGGCTCTGCTATCTGTATGGCAGTGACTGGGCAATATACAAAGGCCACCAAGTTGAGAGAGAGAGAGAGAGCAGAGCCCTGCTGGGGTCTCTGGGTGTGCTGGGAGCTGTCCTGTCAAGTGGGGCGGAAGCTCTGTCATCATCAGGTTGTCATCCGGCCTGTACTGTGCATCTCCTGTCCCTGCCATCTAGGCAGCTGCACTCTGCCCTCCTGTGAGAAAAAACTCATCTTTGAATTCTGTGTCCTGTGACTCTGTGACCACTCCTTACACCTCTCTCAGTAACCTCAGAATCCTGTGTCCCATCTTGCTGGGTTTAACCCTGTTCTTCATCCCAGCAGTGAGAGCACAGACAGCCAGCGAGATGAGGAGCAGGCAGAGGAACTCCAGGCCTCCCAGGGTGAGGAGCACAAGACTTTCCCTGGTGACTGTGAGGCTGGTGACACCCAGCAGTCTCCCTGTACCACTGCAGCCCTGGTGGATGAGGCTGAGGCCCCTTCTCCACAGGCCCTGGGTGAGTCCTGCATTACTAAGAGAACCGCATGCATCCACCCCCCATTTCTGTGCATCCAGTGCAAACTCAGGGTGACAGACACAGGACATCCAGAGGGGACAGGTTGAGGAGACTGTAACAGCTCACAGCCATCACTGTAACCCACTCCTGGCAGGCATCTGTTCATCTGTTCAATTTTGCTTTTTCAAACTGGAACAGCTGCTGTCCATTGCACTATTCTTGCCAAATGCTGCTCCTGAGAGCTGTGCTTTGGCCTTTAGTTGCTGTGCAAATTTTGCTGTAGGTGATGCGCTCACTGGAGATGTTGTTTTGGTTCCTCTGCCGCCAGGCAGCATCTCCATCTCTTCTAGTTTTCTCTCCCATGATGATGTCAGTTCCCTGCCAGGACATAAACATTCATGACTGTGCCTGCCAGTATCATGGAGATGCATCTTAGCCTCAGCAGTCTCCCCTCCTTGGAGGCCAGCACTGTCTTCTCTCAGTGACCCCCAGATCTTTTGAGGCTCTGTTGAGTTGTCTACATAGACTCAATGAACAGTATGCACAGTAACCACATACCCTAAAGCTAAGACCTGACACCCACAGCATCTTCTGTCACCTAAAAGACCCTGTCCTCGGGAACACCAGGGATTCTCTTCCTTGAGGAATTTGTTATTTCACATCAGTCTCATCCCTGGGTCTCTTAAGTCCACTGAGATCAAAGAGTTGCAGTCTGGTGTTTCTGAGATCAGCAGAGGCAGTGAGGCCAGTTCCTGGGATGTCTGTGGGAAGATGCTCGCTGAGCTGTGTGCCAGTGTGGAGACTGACACCCTGTGATGCTGACCTGTCAGGGATGAGTCCATCTGTCTGTCCACAAGCTCAGAAAAGCATGCCCCTTGACTTCTCACAAAAGTGCTCAGCATTGTCTCAGATTATTCTGTTTTTCTCGGGCATTGGCAGTTGTGGGCTTGAAGGGGTGAGGCAGGAATGGTGTAACTGTCCATGCTTATCTGATTTTATTTTCAGAAAATGAGAATCACCTGGCAGATGAGGATTCCCTAGAACCCAAGAGCACCAGGTAACTGTGAGAATGGAGGACCTGTGATGGAACCATGGTGACATAGAGACCTGGAGTTTAGACTTTAAAGTCAGATCTCTGACACACTTCCTTCTCCAGCAAGCAGACACAAAGTATATGTTGAAAGTATTCTGCCACATGTGTGTTCTTTCCTTTGTGGGATATGGCTTTTACTAATTTCTGAAATATCTACATAGTCTGCAGAGGAGTTATAATGACAATGGGTTTTGATATTCATGCACATGTGGCTACTTTGTCCCTGCAGGAATGTGGAACTGTGCTCTACACATGGGGACTTAGCTCACTGGCAGGTTTTCATTGGCAGAAAACTTTGTACCTCAGGAAACACTTTTGTTGGATACGAGTTCTAGGTGCAGCTGTGCTCAGGAATGCACTTGCTTTGCCTGGGACTGCACCAAGTCATTTATATGTGGGTCTCAAACATGTGGCAACTTTCCGTTGGAAGGGCTCCTTGAGTGCACACAAAAATCACCAGCAATGTCCTGATCACTGAGCAGCACCCCATTCACCCTGAGCTGATTTCCCTCTGCCCTTGGAACATGCTGTTGTCATTTATGACTGTGCCTGAAAGGAGAGCTCTAATTATGTATTTCCTTCTCCCTTGTGCACTTCAGGTTGATCACTGAAAATATCGCATGTTTCAAGCCAATAGAGATATTCCCGAAATGGAGGTCCATCCTGTACTACATGAGAAAGAGTCTTAGAGAACTGTTGACTGAGGATGGAGCTATGAGATATGAGGCACAAAGCCACCAGGAAAAGTACTCAGAGTGGCACAGGCTGGCCAGGAGCCTGGCCCTGCAGCTCAGCCCAGGTGAGGGGGCTGCAGGCTGCTCCTGCCTTGATTTCTCTTTACTCATCTCAGAGGCTCTCCGTGAGTGTTTCACTGCAGTTGTGGCACTGGGTAGGGAATCTCTGTGAGTGTCCTTTCAGAGAACTCTTGTCACGCCCAGAGTTACCCTAGGGATGAAATGGCCATGGGACTTGGGTACCAGGGAGAGAACTCTCATACATTAGTGATAGAAGGCAGGTGGAGGGTGCTGGGAGGGGCCTGGTGTGGACACCTGTGGCAGGCTTGTTTTTCCTGTCCTTGATGAAAGGAAGCAGATGGGATGGGAGCTATGGGGTGATGTGAATCCATAGACCCTGCAGTCCAGGTGCGTTATAGGAGGGAGGAGTATCCAGGGCTCTGTGGCCCAAGATCCAAGTGGACTTGGCCCAGTACAACTCAGAGTGGGCCAGGATCATCACCCCCAAATAAAGACATTGTGTCCCTGGGAGTAGTGTGTCACTGTTTCTGTGGGGCTGACACAGAGGTCACACAGGCTTCTATGTTCACCTGACAATGTTGTACGTTCATCTATGTGCACATTCTAAGGTAGCCAAAGGTGCAGTGGCCCCATGCAGTGATATTCTGGACTTTTCTGAATTTGCTTGCAGAGCACCACTCTGATGGAGAAGAGGAGAAGACTCAGCCCCTGGTCTCCAGGTATCAATCCATGGTCAGGAAGCAAGAGCAAGTGTGGGGGAAGGGGACGTGTTACAGTCAGGGCCTAAGGTCAGCAGTGGCCACCCACTTCACTCTCAAGGTTGAGAAGTGCCTGCTGATGGTTGTGGCATCATTCACCCAACCACAGACACCATGGCATTTTAGCAAGGTGCTGTGTTTCCTCTGGTGGTTTTGGAGAAAGTGTCTGCTCAGGACATCTAAGTACTTATCACTATAAAAGAGAACTTTATCCTCTGAAAGGGCTCCATGCACATTGTCTTTCTGAACTGAGGGCCAGAGTTTGTGGACAGCTGAGGCACAGGCAGGACAACTGCAGAGAGCCATGTCAGGTCTCAGTATTGATGAGAACAGGTTGAGAGGGCCCAAGTTCTCCTGCAGTCACTGCAGAACCTGTGGTCCCCAGAACCTGGGAAATTCCCCATTATTCCTGCACTAGGTCAGTCCTGCTGTGGTTCTCACTGCGAGCTCCCTGTCCTGCTGCATCTCAGAGGGAAGATGCTTTCTCCTCCTCAGCTGGTGATGTGGAAAGCACCCTGAGCAGGGCTGATCTCTCTTTCCTGTGTGCTTCTGTTGTCTGTCCTCTTCTGTGTCTGTCTTTCACTCTGGCTCTCACTCTCATTCCCATAGTACTCAGGCAGTGTCCAAGTCAGAGCACAGTTCTCTTCCTCTTTGTGAAAGGCCTGAGGAGTTGGAATTCTCCCTAGAGCTTTGCTAGAGGCTGACTTGGAACCTGTGTGTTGTGTTCCATTTAACCTTGTCTTTTCCACCCCATTCCCACCCATGCATGTCTCAGCATTGAGCTTTGTGAAGAAGATGACCTGTCAGCATCAATGGAGGAGCTGTCCTTCCTGGGTTCTCAGCAACCATTTCCACCATCACCAGAAGAAGATCAGCTGAATTCCTCTGTCCCTGCGATTGAGCCTCAAGCAAGATCTCTGCCTGATGAAACCAGTGAGTTCCCAGCATCCAGCTAGAAGTGCAGCTCCAGGGTTCAGGGTTCTCAGATTTCAGGGTCTCAGCTCAGAGAGGCAGCCAAACCTCAACCAGGTCTCCCCTTTGCTTGGAAAGTGGGGCAAAGGTCTGGGGACTCTGCAACTTTGCTGAGTTCTTGTGCCAGGGAAGACTCTGAGCCTGGTCTCACAGTGCAGACCTCAGATCAGCACTTGGGCCAGATGGAGCAGAGGGGATCAGAAAAGCCTCGAGGATCCCTGAAGCTGGTGTTTGTGGGGTCAGACCACTTCATGAAGGGTTTTTGGGGTGCTCTGGTCTAATGGCTGGGTGTGGCTTCCCCTGCACAGTCCTCTCCTCTTCTTGCACATCCACATGCCTGGCAGACTCTTCAGTTCTTTGGAGGTGAATTTGTGGATCCGGGGCTCCCAGCTCCCAGTTGCTGTGCCCTTTGTGCTGCCTTCCTCCAGGACAGCTTTCCAGCATCCCTTCCCTGCCACCGCCAAGTTTCTATCCTCTTCCCAGCATCAGGGTTTCCTTCCTGTCAGCCTTTAGTTAGCATCATGTGTCTCATCTCTGAGTTTTATTCCCTATCTGGCCGACCTATCTGAGAGGGAGAGAACAGAGCCCCTGTGTGCCATCTCCTCAAAGCCCTGTGTTGTTGTGCAGGAACCCCGTGGCCCAGCATTGTGCTGACCAATGTGGAGATAAATTTCAGGTCCCTGTTCCTGTCACTCATGGTGTTTTAATCATTTGGTCAGAGGGAAATGTGAAATTTTGTGTGCATTTACTCATTGCATAAACTATTGGGAAATGGTGAGCTGTGGTATCCTCCTGTGAATCTGCGTGCTGTAGAGTGAGAGTTGCCATGACACATGACGTTCCATGGGCCCATGAGGGAGCCAGCACCCTTTCACAGTTCAAGCATCTTGTTCCTGTCCCTGTCTGCTGAGGGCAGAGGGTGTTCTCAGGTCCCAACCTTTGGCAAAGCGGGAGTGAGCTCCACATGCCCAGGCCTGTGGTGGGTGCTGAACCTGCTGCCACATAGCTCTGTTTCCAGTCTCAGCCATGACATCCTCCAGAGCCCTCTCGGGCAGGGTTGGGGCCTCCATGTCAGAGGTGAGCACACTGAGATTCAGCAGGGTCACATGCATGCCCAGGTGTCCCCGGCCAGTGTGCTCATCTCTGGGCCAGGAGGTCTGCCCAAATCCAAGCTGAGTCTCTGTCCACTGTTCTGATGCCTCAGTGGTCAGGGACAGGCCTGACATGGGGTAGGGTTAGGGCTTGGGGTTTGGTACATTGGTGTTGTGACATTTGTGTGTTGTTTGCAGACTCGGACATCATCTCGGAAAGGTGCAGGTGCAGGCAGGGCAGGAAGGGCTGTGTGTTTCTCCCTCTTCCCTGAGCCAGCCGGGGATGACGCTGTGTTCTTACAGCTGCTCCTGTTGCTTCCCAGCTGCATTATTTCTCATGTTTGCTACCCCAGCGTCACTCTGCCCTGATGTGCAGTAAAGTGAAGTTTCCCTGTGCTTGGAGGAGCCCTCCTGTCTGTTGTGGAGGTGATGGGAGATCCTCCCCCTCCTTCTGTCAGGTTCACCTTGTTTGATTGACTGCAGTTCTATAGCTAGAAACAAAACTGAACAAGAAAAAAGCTTGTGTGCAGTCACACTACTGAAAGGTCAGCTCCGGAGGCCCATGGTCTCTTTCATTCAGCACTGCCTCAGTCTCCAGTCCTCCCCTATACTCCCACACAGGCAGCCACCCAGGAAATGCCCAAAGCATGGTGCTTACTTGGCTGCCTGTGTTGTGTCATTATTGCTGTTATCATTCTCTTCAGTGATCCACACTGAGTTCAGCAGAATAGCCAATGATTACAGCTTTACAAAAGCGCACCCACAGGGCCACATGTCCCCAGTAGAAATACAACCAGTGCAGCAGATCTCACCTCTGCATAGGGCACCTTATATCATGCTCAGTTTATCACAACAGAAAACTGTCCTCTAGAAATGCATTACAGCAGCCATCAGTGGTAGGTGTGGAGCGGTGCAGGAAAATGCTTGCTTATGCACGTTTCCCCATCCCGTGGCTTATGATGTCATTGCCAAACATGTGGCAGCGTCCCATTGCAAGGGCTCCCTGGGATGTACTCAGAGATTACCCTGGCACAGTCAGGATTCCCATTTTGTCACTCCTCTCGTACTCTGTGCATTCCCTGTCTCCCTTCAGAAGCGCTGTGTCACCTTTCATGGCCATCCCCAGAGCTGAGTTCCACATGTGAGTGTTGCCTTCCCTCCTGCCTTACGAATTTCAGATCAGCAGTGGAGCTGCAGGTCCAAATGAGGACCCACATAGTCAACACATTAGTCAAGTGGAGAGACATCATCCTCCTTGTCTGGTGCCACATCAAGGGCCTGTTGTCCCAGGAGAGACTTGTTAAAGATGAAGGGCAGAGCCACCAGGTCCGTGCTGTGTGGCGTGAAATGGCTGAGTGCATCACCCTCCAGCTCAGCCCTGGTGAGTTGACCGCTAGCCCTGGTCAGTCCCTGACCTCTCCTAAGGGCCTAGCTGATGGGAGAGCCCAGCAGATAAGCCCTGTTTCAGTGCTTCCTTTATGATCTGCATTTCCATCACTCTGCACACATGGGGATGCCTCAGTGGAGGAGCCAGCATAAGGAGAGGGGTGGAAGACACATGATCCCCTCTTGCCTTGCTTCCTGGTGGAGTGGGGCTCCTGATGAGCAGCAGAGTCAACCAGCAATCTGACAGTTCAGAGGCACAGCAGGACAGGCAGGTCTGACTCCTCCCAGCCTGGATTAGTGTGCTGACTTGCTGTGATGCAGGGTCATGGATTGATCAGGAATGCATTGTTTTGTTATTTTTTGAGACAAGGTGTCATTGTGTTCCTTATGCCTTGATGTCACTTTCCATCCCAGGCTGCACTGGAAATCATGTCAGCCCTCTTGTCTCAGCCTCCCTAGTTGTGAGATTACAGACCTGTGCCACCACACCCAGCTTTCTTGGATTTCTGCCTCCTCACCTTTTAAATAGCCAGGAAGCCTGGTGTGTGGTTATGTGCTATTCCAGTAGGGAATCTCCCTAAGTGCTTTCAGTGGGACGATGTGACACCCAGACGTAGTTTTGGGACTTGATGTACTAGAACATGGCTCTGGGATGGTACAGACTGTAGCATTCTCAGCAAATTACAGGACAGAAGTTTGAGAAGTAAGGTGAGAAGAATAAGATTAAGGACTGCAAGGTGTCTGGTGTTGTTCATGTTTACTTTAGTGACAGAACTGTGGAAGCAAGAGCTGTGGTGAGATGGGAGGCACTGGCTCTGCAGTGTGGCTGGATGACAGGAGGGAAGAGTGTTCAGGCTCAGCTGACCAAGATCTGTGAACCTGGCCAAGTCACCCTCCTGGTGCGCTGTGATGACCACCCCCACACGGTGACCTTGTGTGTGTAGGCACTGTCTGTTACCCCACACTGTTCTGTGTAGTCCACACAGAAGACGTGGTATGCACTGTCCCCTGGCTGGAGACTGTGTGCTATAGTCCTTGATGGTGTGGTGTCTGCAGATGGAGAAAGAGGGCTGTGCAGAGAGACTGCAAATGCCCACAGAGTGAGCACCCACATGGGAGTCAGAGGCAGAACAGATGCCTGAAGAAGATAGTAAGGAAACAGGAAAAGAGCTCAGAGGAATGGGGTTGCAGCACAGGGGTACAGAGGGGCCCAGAGCAGTGTGCGGCAGTCTCCGCCTGCCTCAGCCCCCATCATTGCAGCACAGGCCTAATGCTTCTGGCCACCTTTCTTTACTCCTCTGTCCAAGAACAGTGATTCTCATCCATGTGGAAATAGGAGTGATTTTCAGGGCTGTCGCGTAGAGCCCCATGGGAGGGTCACACTCGGTGTGCCCCCAGAGATCCATGAATCTAGATTTCACAGGAACTGGCCTAAGGACAGGCATCTCTACTTCCCTGATTTCACCTGCTCTCACTCCTTATGGAGTGTGCTGCATGGATGCTCAGGTGGACACATGAGGCAGCAGGAGGTTGCCAGGGCCCAAGCCCAGGAAATTGCCCATGGCCCGCATCCTGTTCCACAGTCACTGCCTTCCTTTTTCCCTGGCCCACAGCATGAGGCCCTGTTTTCCATGTCCTTTTGTTCCTGTTCAGGGAGAGCCGCCCTCTCTATGTCCTGGGCCCTGCACACTGTCTAGGAGAGAGCAGTGTGGCTGCGAGGTGGGCATGCTAGATGTGACCTTATCTGTCACAGCAAATCCCTCATGCTCAGATGTGTGACTGTCCATTAAGGCCAGTCCTGTCTGGGTGCTGCCTTCGAAGCATCCACAGGTACACAGGTGACATCTCCTGACACCCAGGTTGTCTCCCTCTGTACCTGGGTCACTCTATGTTGTCCCCCACAGGTGGGGCCATCAGAAATGGGTGCTCAGCCAAGGGAGAAGTGGGATGGTTTGTCCTGAAGCTGCTTCTCATTCCAGCTCCCCTCCTGGCAGCCTGGCCCCAAGAGCTTCCCAGTGGACCACTTCACCACCTTGTGTCCGAGGAGCATGGTGACCCATGCATCCCTGAAAACCACTGTGTGGAGACACAGCTGTGTCATGGAGTTGGCAAAGCCACCCTGAGCCTTTCCTCTGGCCCCTGGAGATTTTCAGCCCACACTGATCCTGGAGAGCAGTGGCTGCTCTCTCCAGGTAGGAGACCTCAGAGGCTCCCTCTTGTGTGGGCCTTGCCAGGGTGTTGTCAGTGGGAGGTGACAGGGCCCTCTATATTCTCTCAGGGCAAGACTGGAGCTTGATTCTCTAGTGGCATCATGTGAGCCCTCAGATGCCCTGGGGTTCAGAGGGCCTCAGACCCTGCCCTGTGTGTCACGGAGCCTCCCTGGCCAGTGATGCATTTTCATAGATAACTCACACCTCGGGTTCTCCATCTCAGGACATGAAAGGCAAGCTACATCCAGTGCAGCTCACCTGTGTCCTGCTGCTGTGACATAACTGACCCAAACTGATACTTGTGTTATCTGTAATTCCCATCATGTCTGCAGTAACTGATTCCTTACAAATAGCATGATCAAAGCTTTGAGTAGAAAATGAAATACTTGAATCATTCTGGTGGTTTGCCATGTGATGACAGAGACTCTGCCATGTGAGTTCAGTAGGTCTTCAGGGACACTGTGTGTCCAGGGCTCCACCTGTCCTGTACATCCGGGGCCCAGCCCTGTCACTGACAGCCTTCCTGCACACTGTGTGGATACCAGGTGGCTCCCTGATTCCCACAGTGCATCCTTACGTGACGGGGCGACCTCATTCTGCTCTCCCAAGGTTCTCACTGCACTTGGAGTTTTCTTGCTTTTCTGCCCTTTTCCTCACCAAATCACATCACACACCCACCAAGATATCCTGGTCCTTCTTTTCGTTAGGTGTGGGTGGATCCCCTTTTCCATGTCTTGCTTGATCTTCAGTTTGATGTGCTTTGCCTCCCTGACATTTGATCATTACTGCTCATGTAGGAATCCTCAACAGCAAAGCCAGCATTGGTCTCTGTAGATGTCATCTCTCCTTGGGTTCCCTTTCAAAGGTCATTTTCTTTATTTGCTGAGCCTCTTGGGGGGAAGCATGTGGGGCAGGAAGGCTCTGGATAACAGTGGGTCCTGGTCCTGTCCTTGTGTTTCAGAGCCAAATTCAGAGGCCTCCGTTGGATTGAGGAACCCACCCGAGATGGAGCACACTGTTCCCCCAGAGTCAGAAGATGCCACACACAGGCGTCCATCTCTCAGTGTCCCTGAGCCTACTGCTGCTCTGAGGCAGACAATGATCCTAGGTTCCAGCTGGGGAACATGGGGCGTAGATTCCCCACCTCTGAGACTTATGGTACAGAGGTAATGACATGTGTGGCTGCTGGGTGCACTTACACTGGATCACTGTCCCCCTTGCACTGTTCCAGTGCCTGTGGTTCCTCTCAGCATGTGCTCTGCCATAACCATGGGAACCCTGTGTGGTGGCTCCTCTGTCACAAAGGGCTGCCCCATGCCAGGCATTTCATTCTCCATGTCCTGTTTGCAGTCCCAGTTCTGCTCTTCTCTTGGCTGCTGTCCTAGTATCCCAGTCCTTGCCACAGGAAAGGCCACCCTGATGCTCTTCTTCATGACACAAAGAGGCTGTTTCAAGGCTGAGAGCCTGGCTACTTTCCCTGACATCACACAATTCTTGCCTTTGCTGTTTTGTCTTCCCAGCTAGCCCAGTTCCACCACCTGTTCCTTCCAACAGCATGGCCTCCTGATTCACTGGCCCACAGGCCCAACTTGTGGCCTCATTGCTGATCAGACTCCATCTCCCCATTCCTCTGAGCTGGAGCCATAAAGGGCGAGTTCAGATTGATGTGACTGAGCCCTTAGTAGGAACAGGACATGGCTGCAGGTGGAACCGCATTCTGGTCTATAGTCAGGTTTGTCTGCAGCCCCAGAACCCCAGTTGACTTGGGCTCACAGGATCTGCATCTGAGCCCCATTGAGTCAGTAAAGCAGATGTCAGCAGGAGCATTCTGCATGGCACCCCAAAGGAACATCAATCCAGATGATGATGCTTCAGGGAGCTCTTCAGGTCACATGGCTCCAGAGTCACAAGCCCTGGATGATGGTCACTTGACCATCATCCAGATGGTTTAAACATGAGTGAGAGACTCATTGAAGGTTACAATGCACAGTGTCAATTTCACAGCTCTGTGATTAAATCAACTGCAGATTTTAAAGACTTTACTCAGAGGCAACTGAGTCAGCCCTTTTTTTCTTTCTTTTTTTGTTTTAACATGATCCCACTTATAGTTCCAACTGAGCTGTAAAGCCTGTTGGTCCTCGTACTCAGGCTCTCACATGCTGGAATTACTGAATTGTGACCCCAGTCCCACCTACTTTGAGTCAATTATTTTCAATAAGTAAATCCCCAAATACAATTATTTAGCCTGAATCCTTTGCAGGAAGTAAAATGATGTATGAAAATAGAACTCTGGAAATGCTGTCTTTGAACGTTTGTCTAAAGGACACTCCAGTGAGCACAGTGGACAAGGACAACACAGAGAGTGAGAACAGCAACATTCTCTGTCGTGTCCTTATCCTCTGTGATGTGGCCGTATAGATGGGAGAACTCTCATGGATGGGCTCTGCAGTGTGGCAGCGCACAGGTAGAGCACAGACCTGACAAAAGGACCCTGGGCTGTGGTCACCTCACTGCCCAGCCCTGCCCCTCCATTCTGAGTGATGCCTTTTTCTGTTCTTTCTGGACCCACTTTGGAGTAACACTTCTCTCAGGCTTAAGGATCCTCATTGCCATCTCTCCAAGGTGCTCAGTAGCCATGGTCCTGATGAGGCCTACAGACTGGAGCTCTTCTCCTCCCACTCTGTATATATGAAAACCACCTGGGGCCTGGGCTGCAGCACCAGGGCTGTCAGGAGCCTGTGTGCTGTTCCCTAATGCTCTCCTTCCTGCCCCTGTCCTGTGTCCTTGATGCCTGTTAAGTAAATGCGGGACTATAGGAGGATGATGTGTGATGGTTCCGCAGTCTTCCCACTGCCCCCACACTCATCATCCTCAGTCTGGGGTTAGAGTCCCATGAGGCTGTGTCTCTCTGCCCTCTCCCACCTGCAGGAGTGTCTTTCTGAATGTGCAACACTGAGGCTGAGATCACCCCTCCCTGAGAGTTGTGAAAAGCCCTCTCTTTGGTCCTCACTAGAGGATCAGCATAGGGACTGGTGCCACTGGCTGTGGCTAGAGCAGTGCAGGATACTGTGTCCTGCACCACAGGCAGGAGTGCAAGATCTGGACATTCCCTCTTCCTTGTGGGTATCACCTTCCCCTCCAGGCTTCCTGAGCCCCTGTCCTTCAGCATGTCTCCCCAGGACCACAGGCGGCCCCTGGTCTCTGTCAGCGCTGAGCAAAACCTCCAGCCCCTGTCCACAGGACCTGACCAAGACTGTCCTTTCATTTCTCCCTCTCTCACTCAGGTCCCTCCTGCTGCACCCAAGAAAGATGCTGCTGCTTTAAGAAGACTGGGCGCCAAGGGGACCTCCTGAGCTTTACCATCAACTCTAGAACAAAAATACCATCAGGATTCAAGAGAGCCCCTGTGTGCAAACATTCACAACCAGCAACCAGACCTGATCTCTTTTTCCCTCTTTTTATTGCTTTACACAAATCTATTGTTTTATTTTAAGATTAAAATAAAATTTCAAAACAAAGTAATAAGACAGTAAAGTTAGTTAATGCATCACCTATTGTTAACTTCAAAATAGTTACTCGGAGTATAAGACAGAGTCAAGAAATACTGTCCAAGCAAAAAATCTTGCTTTCCAGTGAACCAAAAGAGAATACTAGTGTGTTAACTGTTTGGAAGATATTTTTTTTTTCCTTTTCCCTTCTTTTTCTCCTTTCCCCCACCCCAGTTTCTCTTTCCTTTTGAACAGTTTCTTCACATTTTACAATATCAATTGCACATTTTAGCCCTCCTTTACTCTCAGCATCACCCATTTGAGAGCCAATAAGATGTTTTCAGATGTGAATCTGATTTATTTCACTTACGAGTGGTCTCAAGTTGCATCCATTTACCTATCAAAGACTCTATCCTTCTTTATGGCTGCAGAGTACTCCATTGTACGAACAAAAACCACCTATCTTGTATCCATTCCTTGTTTGGTGGCCATTTGTGTTATTTGCATGTTTGGCCAGTACAGATGTACTGCAATATAAATGTGGTGTACTTGTCTCATTGTGGAATGCTCCTTTTAATTGTTCTGGGAAGGGGAATTGCTGGGATGAATGGGACCTATAACCCCAATTTTTCTGTGGAATCTCCATACTGATTCCAACAGTGATTGCACTAGTCTGCACTGCACCAACAGTGGAGAAGTGTTCCTTTTTACACACAGCCCTCCAGCATTTGTTATAGGTGGATTTCTTGATAATGACCATTGTTTCTGGAGCGAGATGGAATCTCAGTTGTTTTAATTTGCATTTCTTGAATGGCCAATGATGGTGAACATTTTTTCATACCCTTATTTGCCATTTATATTTTTTATCTGAAAAGTGCATATTCATCTCAGATGCCCATTTTTGGATTGGGCCTTTGAATTTTGTCAATGACAAGGTGGCTGAATGTGATTGGAATTCCATCTGCATCTCCTTTTCTGTTCCACTGATCCTCAGGTCTGATTTTTTTTTTTTTTTTGCAAATATCGTATTGTAGCTTTATAGTGTAATTTCAGGTCAGGGATTATGATACCCTCTGACTTGCTTGTTGCCAAGAACTGTCACTTTCTATCCTACAGCTCATTTCAAATGAATTTTTGGAATCTTCTCTCTAGTTCCGTGAGGTTTGCTAATATGTTAATGGGGTACCTTGATGGGGACTGCGTTAAATCTGTATAACAACCTTGAGAGTATGGCCATTTTTGCTATTTGGATTCTTCCTATCCAGGAACAAGGGATACCTTGTGATTTTGTGATGTCCTCTTTGCTATGCTTTATCTGGGTACTGTAATTTTCAATGTATAGTTGTTTTACTTCCATTTTTAGGTCAATTCCTAAGCATATCATTTTTTGAATGCTATGGTGAAAAGTGTGGTTTCCCCTAATTTCTCTGTATGTGAGTTTGTTGCTTGTGTCTGAAAATGCTGTTGATTTTTGAGTGTGGACATTGTAGCCAGCTATGTCACTGCCTTCAGTTATTAAATCCAAAAGTCTTTTGATGGCATTTTTGGGGGCTCCTAAGTAGAGTACATTGTCATCTGCAATTAATATTCATTTAACTTCTTTGTTTCCTATTGTTATTCCTTTTCTTTCTTTTTTTGTTGTTGTTGTCTTTGGTTTTTGTTTTTTTTTTTTTTTATTGCCAGAGATCGAACTCATGACCTTGCATTTACCAGTCAAGCACTCGAGCTATGAGCTAAATCCCTGGCCCTGTTCCTTTTCTTTCATTCTCTTGTCTAATGAGTCTGGCTAATATTTCCAGAACCCTACTGAGTAGGAGTGGTCACAGTGGTTATCATTGTATTTTTGCTGACTCTCATGAGTCAGCTTTCATGAATCTCAGCTTTCCATGAAAGCTTCCATTTTTTGACCATTTGGTGCGATATTAATTGTTTGTCATAGATGGCTGTTACCAGATTGACATAAAAATCATCTATTCCAGTTTTCTGTAGGGTTTTTATCATAAATAATAAATGGGTATTGTATTTTGTGAAATGACTTCTGCATCTCTTGAGATGTTCATGTGATCTTTTTCCTTTGGTTCAGTTAATATGGTGTATTCCATTAATTGCATATGTTCAAAATCTCTGCATCCCCGGGATGAATCCAACATGATCACAGTGTATAATCTTCTTGATGATTTGTTGCACTCTGTAGGCCAGTATGTTAGTAAGGATTTTTAGTCTATGGTCACTAAGGAAACTGGTGTGTAGTTTTCTTTTCTAGTTGAGTCCTTCTCCGGATTAGGTATGCAGGTAATGCTTGCTTCCAGGAATGATTTTGGAAGTATTGATTGTCTGTGACTTTCATGGAAGAATTTCTGCTTTAGTTCTTTTTGAAATTTCTTGTAGGATTCCACAGTGAACACATCAGGGCCTGCCTGAACTTGTCTTCATTGGTAGGTTTTTAATGACATTTTCCATTTTACTGACTGTTACCAGGTTATTTAGAATACTAACATCTTTGAGATTCAGTTTTTATCATTTATATATGTCAGGTATCTGTCCACTTGTTCTGTGTTTTCCATCTCAATAGAGTACAGGTTCTTCTTGTACATATTAGAACCTTCTAGATTTGCCCTGTAACTATGCGGTTTTACACTTTTAATTCCAAATTGCCTGATGGATAGTCTTTTTTCTTGTTGATAATGGCAAATAGAGGTTTCAAACATCCAACTTTTGAATTCATTTTTTGTATTATTTCAGTTGCATTAATTTCTGCTGTGATGGTCATCATTTTCTCTCTCATAGGAGCTTTGCATTTGATTTGTTCCTTCTTTTGTAGCAGTTTTTGGTTCAATCTTATGTTGTTTATTGGAGCTCATGCTGTTTACCTGATATGAAAATTTACCACTAGAAATATCTTTCATGTGAGTGCTTTCATCATGTACCACAACTTCTGGTACATTGTATTGGCATTTTCATTTAATTGCAGATACCATTTAATGTCTTCTTTAATATCCTCTGTGACTTACTGGTTTTTTAGAAGAGTGTTGTTTAATTTCCATGTGTTTATGTGATTTTATGGTTTCCTTGATGTCCAATTTTTATGCAGTGTGATCAGATAACATGTATGAAATAATTTCAATTCCTTTGCGTTTACTTAATTCTATACTATGGGGTAATATGTGGTCTATTTTGGAAAATGTCTCAAATATAGATAAGAAGAATATGTATGCTGATGTTGGAACACTGTAGATATCTACTGAATCCTTTTGTTCCCAGGTTTGTTGTAATTCTCTCATTTCTTTGTTGACACTTTTTCTTCTTAACTAATTGTGAGAGTGAGATATCAAGATCCCCCATTACAAAAGTGTGAGTGCTTATTTGATTTTTCAGGTCCATTAATTTTTTTAATGTAATTGTGTTTACTGGGGTTAGCTGCATATATATTTATGATTGTTTTCTGTTCTTGGAGACAAACATTAACAAGTCTGTAGTAAATCTCTTCTCTTTGGATCAATCTGGGCTTGAGCACCACATGGCCTACCAGTATAATAGCTACCCCTGCCTTTTCTCTGGGATCCTACCACATGGAGTATCACATTCCATCCTTTGACTTTCAGTGTATGAATTTCCTTCTGAGTTAAATGTGCTTCTTGAATACAGCATATTGTTGGATCTTGCTTCTTGATCCAGTCTGCCTTTGCTCTGTTGAATCAAAGCCATTTGTATCAATGACTGTAACACATGTACATTGGCATATCTTTCTCATATTATTTTCTTATTGGTCATCCCGAGGGATAGTTTCTGCATACCTGGTAACAATGTCTGTGCAGCCAATCAGCATCCTTGATGTCTCTGTCTTGTCTTCATGAAGGCAGCCTGGGTCCCTAGAAAGAAGACCTACGAGAGAGACAGAGGACATGAGCACCTGGAGCATCAGTATCTCCTACACATGCATGGCCAGAACCATCCTGTCATGGGCTCAACTCTCCAACTCAACACACACACACACACACACACACACACACACACACACACACACACTCATGGCCACACAATGCCACAGCAGACCTGTCACAAAGAACCAGAAGTGATGGTGAGCCCAACTGACTACCAGGAAAACTTAGTCTCACAAGTCTACAAAGGAAACTTCAGGCTAGAGATGTGACCCTTCAGTGGCCCTGTAGTTCCCTAGGACACAGATTCTATAGCACCTCTTCCCAAAACACTTCTCCATAGGACCTGCTGGACAGCAGTGTTCCATGGCCACTTCAGTACCTCCAAAATGATGTAGGAATGGCAGGGTGACCTCTCGGGTCTGGGTCACTGGGGTTTATGTTATGGGGGGTGAAATCAGATTCTCTAAGAAGTACAAGAGGACCAGCTTCAGGCCCAACTGATGGACGCCACTCTATGAGGCCCAAGGTGAATGTACCCGGATGTCCCTTTGCTAAATACCATGACCACCACAGGGCAGCCTGTGAATCTTGGTGGACAGTGGAAATCTCTACTCCTGTTTGTACTGAAGTTCTGTTAACATCAGTCATTAATCAACAAGCCTTACTTTCTCATCAGTCACTGTATCTTAGCTCGGTCTCCATGGACCTTAAAAACAGTATATTTGTGCCATGAGTATGACTAGCACCCAGTGGCATTTCCTAATGAGCAATGCATCTGAACGTGTACAAGCTTTATATGTACGGCTCACTTCCTTACCTTTCCCCACCAGTAGATACCGTGATCTCTATTCAATGCTGAAAAACCATGGTATTGAGAGTCTGTGAACATGATTAATTGTTCCAGCATCATCTAGCAAAGAAATGGCAAATCAGGACCTCAGTGCAGGTAGCCGGTCCCTAAACTCTGATCTCCTGTGGTGGCTG